CGCGAAATGCTGAGTAGGGAAATGAAAATAAAAGAGGGCAGTGAGAATATGTTGGAGGCGCTGAATACGAAGAAAGCAAAGCAGACGAAAGAGCAAAGACAAAGGGTGGAAGCGGAGCTGAATATATCCAACCAGAAGATCAGAGATTTGAGATTGAAAATTACGGAAATGCAAAAGCCTAAACCACCCACCACTCCTACGCGCAGTCGAATGGATGCTCTCTTCCAAAGTAATGGTGTGAGGTCACCTCCAAGTGCTTCTAAAAGTATGGGGGGCTCAGAAGCAGCAGATGAGCCTACAGAGTCGCCAACGTATGTCTTAGCTGAAATATTACAAGCTCTAGAGGTGGAAGGTCTCACTCCGGATTACTACGTTGGTCATGCAAACGATCTGGTTGAGCTCTTCAAGCGCCACCCCACCTTGAAGTATGATCTAGTCTGGTCAGTATTTGGCTTGAGAATGCAAGTTATGCTTCTGAGTGGGAGCCGGGAGGTTGTCGCTGCAGGATATCGTATGACAAGATATGCAATTTCGGATGTCAGCTCTTTACAAAAGATTCGCAGCCTAAACACCGATAATCTTGTTGTCGTGTAAGTACTGAGTCTGGTAGATATTCATGCCTAATACTAAAGAGTTCTTAGATCACTCATCAAGAAGGGAACTTCTGACGTGGAAAGAGAGCAGGCCTTGAAGTTTATCAGAGCATTTCTAGATGTAAAAGACGGCATAAAAGAGGTCTCTAGGGCTGTGGTAAGAACTATAGCTTCAGTTGCAGATCATGAAGAGGATCGACTCAAAGCTATCTGCATAGAGACACTTGCGGAGATCATGGTTCGCGATCCAGGTCTTGTCGTTGCCTCTGGTGGTCTCAGACCTCTTGCCGATGCTCTAGGCGATGGTACTTACGACGCTTCTGAGAGTTTAACAGCAGCGTTTCTGTTTTTGCTTGATTCTCCTCATAGACGGCAGTATTTGCGATCGGGCTATGAGCTAGAAATTCTCTTTACTTCTTTCACCGACTCCCTGTTTGTGAAAGAAGAAATTTTGAAGCAAAACTCGAAGGCCATTTCATATGCTATGAATTCATGGCCTGGTCTTATGACATTGTCTATGTACGACTTCAGAGCTATCAAATCACTGATATCATGCTTGATCCTCCCCAATCCCATTGTACGCGAGACTGTCATAGATATGCTTTATGGAATCTTGCGCATCAAGTCTCCTTTTTGGGCAACCTCTTTCCTCGCTGGCAGGCGTCTCACTACATATGGAAGAGTTGCAAACCTCAAAACAGCACCGGCAAAGGCATCAGCGCAGTCAGCGACCGATGATGAATCGGGCGACAAAAGTTTCGTCGATCATTATACAGCGCTTCTACTAGCAGTGCTAATAAATGCTGGCATGGTTGAAGGATTGTTGCAGGTGACCTCAGATACTGACAATGCGATGTTAAAGCGAAAAACTACTCTGCTCATTGGGGAAACCTTGAAGCTTGCGAGTCAACTATTGCCATCAAGCTGGAGTGCCGAACTTCAATTACTTCCCGGATTGTTCGCTGCTGCATCTCAATTCGGGAACGATGGACGACTTGTGGCCACTAGCACGGTATATCAAATCAGCAGTGTGAGTCGGACATTGTATAGATCAGCTCCATCTATCTCGACAACTCTTTCGATAAATAATAGTCACGGTAACTTGTCAAGCTTGGGAGATCAGCCTAAAAGTAATCCTAACGTCTCGTTTGACGAGACAACATTCAGACAGCTATTGGTAGAATCTCAAGTTTTGGCCAGCACAAATCCTATTAAGTGGAAGTGGGATATTATCTTGCGAATTATCGAGGGCCCGCTCACAAACGGCAAGCGGCTAGATGAAGCTGTGAAAGCCTCAAAGTTCATCAAAAGGATAATGAGTTTCTATCGGCCGTTTAAGTACAAGTTCTCTGAAGTCAGAAACACAAGGATAAATCAAAAATATATCAAGGTCGGTTGTGCACTCATGCACACTCTCCTTCAAACCGTGGAAGGAGTCAAATACTTGGCGGACAACAAGCTACTCAGACAAATTGCAGAATGTCTAGCTCAATGTGACCCGGTAACAATACCCCCCCCCCCCCCCCCCCCCCCCCCCCTGATTATGATGATTATCTTGTATACTAACACCTAGCAGACGAGTGGCCTCACCGCTTCTCAACCGACATTCTCAAAGGAAAGACTCTCAGAAACTCTTGCATGCGGTTATTTTGCTATGCTCGGAACTTTGACTGGCGATCCAAAAGGGTTGCAAATGCTCGATCGTTGGCGAATGATCAATATGATGTATCACATAATCGATTTGAAGCAACGTCCCGATTTGATTAGGTTACTCTTATCAAATTTCGACTATAATTTACCGGGACACCCGAGAGTCCTCTTATCTAAGGCTCTGACTGCAGGATCCAAGGAGATTCGTATACATGCGACGAACGTCCTACGTAAATATTCAAGTCGAGCCACAGGGACCACCGACTATAAATGGGCAATCGAGCTTTTAGTCACCCAACTTTACGATCCAGAGGTTGAAGTCTGTGCAACTGCTATCAAGATTCTTGAGGAAGCTTGTAATAGAAAGAGCTATCTCGAATTTATTGTGGAGTGTCGTCCAGCTTTAGACCATTTGGGAGAAATCGGTGCTCCTTTACTACTACGTTTCCTTTCCACGTCAATTGGATATCATTATTTGGACGGACTGGATTATATCAGCAATGAAATGGACGATTGGTTCCTAGGACGAAATGATAGTTATGTCGGAGTTATCGAGGCAAGCTTGGCAAAATCTTTTGTAGAAATGCCCGAAGAATCTTCAAATAGGATGAGTATGGACGAAGATAATTTTGATCTCGAGGGCGAAAACGATGCACAAGTTCCTCCTCACTTCTACAGAGAACTCACTCGTACAAAAGAAGGCTGCAAACTTCTTCAAGATAAAGGGCATTTTGAGGAATTTGCTTGCACTATCCGTGAATATGGTATGCTAGCCGATGATCCAGAACTCATTCTCAAAATCAAAGGATGTCTTTGGGCAGTTGGAAACGTAGGATCCATGGAGCTAGGTGCGCCTTTCTTAGAAGAATCAGATGTCGTCGAACAAATCGTCAAGATTGCTGAAGAACATCAAATCATGAGTCTACGCGGTACCGCATTTTTTGTTTTGGGGCTCATTTCGCGTAGTCGACATGGACTTGAAATTCTCTCTGAACATGGGTGGGATTCAAATACCAGCTCTCTAGGTGTCTCACTCGGCCTCTGCATTCCTCAAAACCTGAACAAATTCTTCTCCTACCAACCTTGGGAACATAAAACTATCTCGGACATAGTAATCACAGATGAAGAAAAAATCGAAATCGATAAAGCGAGAGTAGATGATCGAGACATAAATCAACGTATCCTAGAACTGGTAGAAAACTTGGGAAATATGATATTGCACAAAAAGGCAATCGGGGAGCTGATACAAATCAAGGAAAATCAAGGGGATGCATTTAAACAGGTGGGACTTTTCAAGAAGGTTATGATACTGTTGGAATATCATCATTTCAGATTGCCGATGAGGAGGTTCGTTATTGAACTTTTCGAGAAGAGGGTTCTTAGACGCATTGTGCTGGATGAGGATAGTGATGATGAGGTAGAGATGGGAGTGGGGATGGGAGGAAGGGAAGGAGCGGGGAGGGAGATGGGGGTAAGGGAGATGGAGAGAGTACAAAGAGGTCCAAGACTCGAAGAAGATAGTGGGAGTGAAGGCGTAAGGACAGAACGTCAGAGAAGTGTCACGGATATTAGAGTGGTGGGAAATGAAGCAAATAATGCTTCAATATGAGTTGATGTGGTTCAAATCAGTGGATGGCTGCATGGATATATGCATGGATATGTACGATTACAAGAGATCGACAGACACACAGAGAGAGAGAGAAACGGAGAGATGATGAGTGAGGTGTGGTGATGCATTCATCATACACTCTGCATCAATTGGCAAAAACCAAGTAGCAAAGATCAATTTTCTTCACGTCTTTCGTTCTCTTTCTCCTCTTTTCTCTTTCCCTTTTCTCCCTCGCATAAAGGGAAGCAATATCGCGCAAAGCGCAAAGCGAAAATCCTACTCGCTTTTCGCTTCTTTTTCCCGCATTTCCGCTTCCGAATTTGTATTTTCAAAATTTATCTAGCATAGACATAGGTTGCTTAGGCTACCTACCTACCTACCTACCTACCTAGCTAGGTAGTTAGTTAGTCAGGGTAGTACGTACGGACGGATAGACGGGCGTGAATTCATCGATCTATCTAATTGGTTGGCAGGCTGACAGGCGTAGTTGGCGTGGTTTGGTGTATGGAGTGCGTGGATTGATTTGATTTGGGGTCTCTTTTTTTTCTCGAGACATGGGTTGGTTTGATATGGCACGGTTTGGTTTGCATTTAGGGGGTAGGCCCAAGATGGGGTTTGAGGAGGGTTGAGATTGCATGGATGCATGGATGCATGGATGGATGGGTGAATGGATGGATTGATGATATGAAAATTTGAATTGTAGGGAAGCAGATGCAGAAGCAGGAAATAGAAGATGAAGATGAAGATGAAGATGAAAATAAGATGGTGGGATTTTGAAAATAAATGAACTGGATTTTTACTTATTTTATGCTGGATTCGATTGACTGTTTCTGTTTTGTTTATGGCTTGTATGGATGGATGCAGGGAGTGGGTGAGTGGGTGAGTAGTACCTTTATCTTCTATGCAGTGAGGAGATCTAAAGAGAGAGAGAGAGAGAGAGAGAGAGAGAGAGATGGGTAAGAAGGAATTTATAAATGCGTGACATACATGATGTGATTTCAACCAAGTCTCACACACATAATGTAGAGGAAATCCAGATTTGTACAAAAAACTCCATCTGCAGTTGCAGTGCAGCGCAACAATTCTACCAAACAATCACATTCAAGTCACTCAAACCTAAGATCACAGTTCACATCAAGGAGCATAGATAAATTTCATAAATTTCATTCGTTCTGACTAATTGCAGCTGGCTGGCATGATGAAAAAGAAAAGAAGAAAGTTAAAAGAACCAATGACAAAGAAAGAAGAGATTATAATTGTACAACAAGGTTTTCCGAGCATCCATCCTGCGTTCCTCCCCACAAGCTGGGACCTCCAATACCCCCTTGACACAAATCCACAGCTTTCACAATAGATTCATCTCCCAGCTCCAGAACAAGACAAGCCCTTCCATGTTCTTTTGCTCTGTATTTCACTCAAGACCAACCGCCACCAGCCAGCCAGGCTATCAGAGAAAACCCTCATAATCACTGCGCAACAACCTTGAAGCCCCATGCCTTACTTTGCGGAGATGACATTAGGGTATCAAGTCGTAACAGCGCCAATGCAAATAAAACAAAAACGCAAAAGCTGGAGCGTAACAGTCGTAGACCATCGTATGGATGCATTGAAGCAAGCCGGGTCATCGATCATTAGAGCCACGTAAAGACGGAAAAAAAATATGGACAGAAGAATAAAAAGCTTTTAGAGGTCGTGATCGGCTACCAACCATATCGCCGTCCAAATCCAACCCCTGCCAGCCAAAGAAATTTGCAGATAGAAAGCATCCCATTTTGTCCCACGCACCAAATACCGGATAATGCATTAGAAAGATGACCGAAAACAAGATCTGATGATAACGGAATTTAGTCTAATGTGTGAAATCTGAGGTATCACAGTGAACAGAATGAGGAACTTTTAAGACACCCTTTGAAAATAGGCCCCGCCGTAAATGCAAGATTAGCCCGCCGTCTATGCACAGAAATTAGAATGATCCGTTTTATTAAACACTTTTGTTAATGCTCAATGATCAAGCATCACCCTCCTTCTTGTCAGAAGCTGCTGTGGACTTCGACAATACTGGAGAAGTGTGAGTAGAAGGAGGAGATGCTGGATTCTCGGTCTCGCCAGATCCTAATCCTGCTAGTAGACTATGGAAAAGTTAGTTGAGCGTCAATGGATTGTCAAGAATAGAATATACGAACCTAAACGCATTTGCGGAAGTAGCTGATTTCCTATCCTTGTCTTGTGGGGGTGTGCCTGTTCTTGAAGAAGCTCCAGAGTCTTCACCTGTTCTGCCCAAGGAACCTCCTGGTCCCATCTTTCGGCCACTGTTGCTTCTTGAAGAAAACATAGATGATGGTCCGAATGACATCTGTGCATTGGTGTTTCGGCTTGCACCACCCTTGTTTGTGAGACGACGAAGGTCATCCATACCAACAGTGTTCTTCTGGTAATCAGGAGGAGGTTGGTTACCATATCCACCAGAGAAGTTTCTTCCGTCACCACGACCCATTGGCATGCGTCCTCCACCACCACCTCTTTGACTCCTAGAGTTCTCGGCAGCCTTTGCAGCAGCAGCAGCCTCGGCCTATAATCAATTAGTATATCATCACTTATCAAAGTTTGTGAGGAGACTCTTACCGCAGCTCTGACTTCATCAAGTGTCTGAGGACCCTTGTTTGCTTCCTTTGAAGCCCATCCCTTCTTACGAAGATCGACAATGTCCATAAGCATGAACTTGAGACGACTTGGCAACTCAGGTTGCTCCATCATGGCGTTGATACGAGCGAAGTATACATCCATCAATGGTCTACCCTTCTCGGTGCTGTCAAGGTTAAGACCAATGGTCTTGAGGAGTTTGGTCAAAGACTCAATCTCAGCTTCGTCAGGAAGACCATTGTAGTCCACGAGTTTCTTGACACACTCGTGCATGATACGCTCTGTAAGCATACTAAGCTTGTACAACTCACCAATGAATTGAACAAGACCAAGACCACGTCTCTTGGCAGCAGCAGCGATATAATACTCGTCTGAGAGCATAGCAGCTTCTTCAGTCTTGGCATCCTCGCGTTCACCCTCGGGCTTCTCTGGCAAGTCAATCTTCCAACCTCTCTCGAATTCTTCTTGACATCTATTGAGCAAGTATTTTCGGAAAAGGTTGCCACCAGAGACGATGTTTCCATTCTTGTCGACGATGCTCTCATCCTTGATGTCAGGGCTCATGGTCTCTAACATACGCTTACAGAACTTGGCATACATGGAAGCCCAGTGGGCTTCGTCAGTGGCCTTCTCGAAAGTAAGTTGGATGACCTGTCTCAATGTGCGGCCATCTGCTTCGTCCCTTGACTGTGCAGCAATAGCCAAGATTTGGTCGGCGATCTTGTCGAACTTCTCAGGAGTCATCTTGTTCAAAGCTGCCTTGACCTTTCTTTGAACCATGTCAGGATCCATGTGGCCGGCGCCTGGAGTGGCACCAGGTGTAGGTCCAGCAGCACCAGTAGCTGTTTGAGTTTGACCGACACTGCGTGGTTTCCAACCAGTGGAAGAAATTTGAATGGGCTTGATCTCCATACCGCTGGTAAGAGGCATCTTTGCTGCGGCTTGGGCCTCTTGCTTGGCGTTGCTGCCTTGGTAACCACCTTCACGCTTGCTACCACCACGAGTGGATCTGCTTGCTTGACGTGGGGAGTGTGGCATAGAGTTGGTAGAGTTGGTTCGTTGCATAGAGCCACCGGGGAAAGCTCCACCAGGGCGTTGGAATGAAGCCATAGGGTTGTTGATAGCTGGTCGTGCCATATTGCCTTGAGACATAGCAAAACGCATTTCGCTTGTAGTGCCAGGTGGAAGGGTCTTTCCGCCTTGAGCACCAAATTGACCCATAGTGAATTGACCAACAGCATTTCCGCCACCACGGTTTGATCCTCGAGGACCCATACCACCAGGTGTTCTCTGTGATCCACCAGGTCTGGCAGAGCCTGGATCATCTCCGATGAGGGCCTTGATTTGTGACTCGAACTCCATGGATGGCTTCTCGGTGAATACCTTTTGAAATTGGAGCAAGAATTCTTTGTCGTATTTGAAAGTCTTGCCCTTGGCATTAGCGGCAGAGTTCAAAGCAGGGTTTGGCGAATTGATGTTGGGTGGATAGATAGAGGAGTCAAGAACAGCCAAGAAACGGGCAGACTTGAGCGACTGGAGAGCTGCACTAGGTTGAGGTGGCTCAACAGGCTTGGTGTTAAGGGGTGCAAGGTTAAGCGCAGCAGGCTTGCCTCGCTTTTCGGCAGCAAGTGTTTTAGGAGGTGGACCCATGGAGTCATCAGAAGTAGGAGTTGATGCACCGCTGTCGGTTTCGAGGGTAGCCTTTGAAAGCTTGGTAGCGAGAGTATCTGGGGTCTCCTCATCCTTCTTACCATCGCCACCTTTGGCCTTGGCTTCCGCCTCGGCTCTCTTCTTCTCCTTTTCATCTTCGAGGCGCTCCATCTCGCGCTCCTGCTCCTTGAGTTTACGGTCATTTTCTGCTGCATTGGCCTTGTCGGCTTCAGCTTTCTCGGCGGCGAGTCTTGCTTTCTCGGCGTTACGCTTCTCGAGAAGTTCAGCTTCTTTCTTCTCTCGTTCAGCTTCAGCTGCCTCCATCTCGGCAATTTGTCGCTCCAACTCCTCGTCAGCTTCCTTTTGGGCCTTCTCGGCAGCAGCTTTCGCGTCTGCTTCTTCCTTTGCCTTGGCTTCTTCGGCGGCCTTGGCTTCTTCCTTTGCCTTTTCTTCCTCCTTCAATTTGGCTTCGGCGGCGGCGGCGGCTTCAGCAGCCTTAGCAGCCTCCTCATTCTTGCTCTCGTCGACCTTGTCACCTGCTGCCATTTTCTTGACCTTTTCTTGCATCTCTTGACGAATCTCTTCAGCAGACTTGGTAGCCAAGCTATCAGTGCGAGCATGTTGAGGAGTAGCGGACTTTGGTGGAGGTGTTGGTGTAGAAGAAGCAATGACAGGTGGTGTTCTAGTTCTGTTGCTAGGAGCTGGAGAAGCAGGTGCCTTGATTGCGTCAACATTCAAGACATCACCGTCAGGTCTCTTAATGACAATAGCAGCGCTCTTGCGGGTTGGTCTAGAGAAGGTGTTTTGAGCAACAGGCTTTGGCTGAGGTGTATGTGAAGTGGTCGGTGCGATCATAGGGACTTGGGTTTGGCCCATGCTAGAAGCTGGTCGATGTTCAGACATTTGAGACGAATTGCGGGACATAGGTTGTGGTGCCTGTTGTGTATACTGACCAGCGATATATGGTTGGTTGTAGCCTGGTTGCGGTGATTGGGGTGGAACGGAGTGCATGTAGCCAGCTTGAGGATATTGGAAAGTTGGAGGGCCACCCATTAAAGGCATACCGGGGTAAGGACCGTAGGGATGAGTCTGTGTACCTGTTAGAAATTTGTCAAAGTTGCCAGAAGCTGGCGAGAAATCAATATTTGAAACATCAGAAGAAACGTTGAAATAGGGAGTAGCAGAAGGGAGAGGGGGGAGGCTTGGGTCCGTAGAACTTAGATCTGCAGGTTTCTTCGGGATAACTGAATCCTTGGCTGGAGGTGAGGGCAAATTCAACTGTTGGTTGGAAACAGGAAAGCCATTCTCCTGGTGCTCCGACTGCATGGATCCTTTTCTATTTCTGGCAATACCTTGACCGTTACTTCCACGGGGGAACGGCTGTTCATGGTAGGTAGTGAAGCTGTGACCAAAAAGTTCTGTTGAAGGCTTTCGGTAATGTTGGGCTGAAGACTTATCAGACCACTTCTTGCCTCTACTACCACCACCACCGCCGCCTCGATTGAACGTTGGACAAGAGAAAGAATCGCTGGAGTAAGAAGGGCATTGGTTTACCGGGTATTGATAGCCTTGTTGTACTTGAGGAGCTCCCATGTGAGATGGCTGATAGTAAGCATGAGCATTGAATGGTTGTGGACTTTGCATGGGCATCGCTTGGTTCATGTTAGGAGTGCCGGGAATGGAGTTCGAAAGGGCTGGGCTTCGAGCGGCTTGGTGTGGAGAATTTTGGTATTGTGGGCGACCTTGGTTTTGGAAAGGAGGCATGCCACCACGTCCGGCATTTTGGTTGTTTCTGAATTGTGGTGGGTTTGGTGGAGGGAAACCAGTATGACCTGTATATTGTTGGTTGAATCCACCACGTCCACGACCACCACCTTGTTGATAGCCACCACGTCCAGCTCCTGGGCCTTGATTGTTGTCACTTTGTGCCGAATGCGACGATTCACGACGAAGGTGACCGCCTGCTTGACTATTAGGTGCTAAAGGTCCTTGGGAGACTGCTTGTCGCATGTGTCGCTAAAGAGAAAGCAAGTCAGTAAATGTGCCATGAACCTGTGAGGGATGATACTTACATCACCATCGTTGCCTAAACTGCCAAAAGTCATGTTTGCTTGTTGAGAAATTCCGGATGGGGGTCTTCCACCACTTGCAGTTGGCTGAGGAATAGGAGATGGCGAGGTTGCTGGCGAAACTACTCTTGGGTTGTTTCCGGGAATTGGGATTGGTTCCGAGGCGGGTTGAGAGATTTGTGGGATGCTGTGAGAAGCGGCAGGAGAATCCATCAATGCTCCAAATCGAATACCACTTCTGGAACCACCGACTGGACCTCCATTGGGAACATAACCTGCGGGACCGTTTGCGCTGATTGTAACCGAACTCTTACGGCTGTGGTCAGTCGAACCACCATTAACTGCAGCATTGCTATGGGCGATAGCAGGTGCAGAAACTGCCGGTACAGCTGGAGGAATCGAAGCTCTACCGTTTACCGGCGAGATAGAGGATGATTTTCCATGTTGCTGTACCGGCGCAGAACCTCCGACAGCCACGGCGGGTGATGGAGTCGAGGAGCTCGTCGCGATAGGTGGCGACGAGACTGCCTTCTTTGCGGTAGAAGCGTACGACTGGGTCGACTGCGACGCGCTAGTGGTGTTTGAGGCCTGGCTTTGGTTTTGAGATTGTTGAGGAACGGAAGTCATAGGGTGGACTGTTTGTCGAAGGTGACCTCGTAACTTTTCGTAGGAAGGGATTTTAATTAAATTGTATGACGTTATCGCGATAGGTGTGGATGACGGGAGGTATGCCTTCGCAGACGGTCGATATTGAATTAGAATCGAAATCTATTAACAAGAAAAAGAATCTTCTTGAATTAAATCGATAAATAAAGGTTGAGTGGAGAGAGGATTTGTGGTTATGTTTCTTCCTGAGTGGGCAGAAATTAATCGCTCTCAAAAAAAAGTGCGAATATCTGGAGATTCGCCCTCTCTTTTCGTGTGGGTGAATGGATGGGAGAATTTGTATTCGTTACAGTCTGGAAGAACTATAACTGTACAATTCTGGTGAAAGGTCGATAGTTTAAGAAAGCTATCGAGGAGACTATTCCTGCTGCAGTCGTTCTTCTACAGAATAGAAGATGTGCTGCTGGGATAGTATTTTTGGATTTTGGGAGGTATTTTCAAGTTGTCTTGAAATTGTTGGTGGTGGTAGAAAAATTGTTTCGAGAGAAATCCTGATATCTTCGATGGTGGCTCGGCTAGTTGGTAAATGCTTAACTTTTTTTTCTAGCTGGTCTGGGGCACTAAGGGAAAATGTGAATGTGTGGATGGATGCCTTGGATATAAGGCTCGTACGAGTAGTATGAGGAAAACTAAAAATCAACTAGTGAAATATCGACCAATATATATAATATCTACTAGGGCGGTAGGTACTGTTCCCTCCAGAATCATCAAAATGAATGATGCTTTTGCCTCTAGAGGTTTGCTACGGCTTTGTTTGTACGGATGAATTATCACAGTACACAGGTGACATGGTGAAATGGTGAAATGGTGAAATGGTGAAGTGGTGAAATGGTGAAATTGGGTGTAGGTCCAGCCAACAGAATATCTACACTACGAGGTACCTAGTGAGAGGGCGATTGAAGGACGTAGCTGCCTTGGTATTGACTGGAGGAATTTATTTGTGGTTTTCTTTGAATCCTTCATATACTCCCTAGTCCGCAGCTATATATCCTTATATCCTTCTTAACAAAGTATAAAGGTTGACATAGACATAGATTATGATTGTACTGATCTCGACAATGAAAGTTCCATATTATGTTAAAGAAGATTGGGAAGACAATGTGAAGTGGAAATATGTACGTTCATTTCAATTGGCTGATGAATCGATTATACTGGGTAAAGATAGACTTGGTTGGCTCTGATTTGTACGTATGGTTTGTCTCTTTATGGAAGGAATCATTGACTAGACCGTTTTTCAAGGGAAGATATCTTGGAAAGACATCAATGATACTACCTAGCTATTCATTCAACTGTAAATATATCCTTAACAGCTATCCAGTGGTACACCTCGACATAACCTTATGAGTGACCCCGACCCTTATGTTATACTGTTCTTTCAACAAAACCTCTGCTTGAAGAATCAATTCAATGACGCTCCGCTGGCCCTCTGGGAGCCACTGCCGTGGGGGCAGACTAGCTACCTAGTAGGTATATGAAGAGGAAGTACTTTTATATCTTCAACATTTCGAGCGCAGCGAGCTATGGGGGTTTGGGGGCTTGCCCCCATGATAATACAATCATAACACCCTTCTCTGTTCTGTTACTCCTTTCAAAAAAGGAATCAATCAAATTTAACTTCGTCATGTCACATTATTCTTCCTTAATTTTTGAATCCATACTCGTAACTAAAAGAAAGTTGAGACTTGCTATGACTCGACCGACGCCAAATGCCCCGAGGACATCATTACGTCGAATCACACACGGTACCATTTCAAACACGCTCGGTATAGTCATGGATAACCAAGCCCCTGGGTAAGAGATTTATTCTTGGACTTGGGTGACATGGCAATAGGTAGGCAAAGCATATTTGGGGGGATCTCTATCCTTGGTCTGACCTGACTTGCATCACCAGTCAGCCATAGTTTACATACCGGTGAGAAGAAACTCTCTACCGCAAATCCAAACTATTTCCTACTTCGTCATACTTCTTCATACTTCTTCAAGAAAAAGTTCCCCTATTTCAACCCCAATGCTTATACCAAAATGGACATTTTACCTTCCAGCTGAACATTTCACATCATTAACATATCACCAACTCGTCAGCTCTGATACCGGTACTCCACTCTCAAGCTCGAGCTCCAAACATTACAAGTTGATAAATGCTAGTGCCACGATTCTGCACCTCGACCTCGATAACCAATCGATCCTTGATCTGAAAGTCTACCGCCATTGGAACAGCCTTGAAGAAATACAACAGGGCGTACGATACAACTTACGAGGAATCGGTATTGCCCGGTTCCTCAGAATCATCACGTATTATTTAATCTGCTTTGATATCCAATTCTTGATTCAATGGTGCAGCACAAGATAACACCGATTCATCAGACGATGCAACATGATAGAATTCTACCTAACCACCTCGAGCCCATCTACTCAAGTATATCATGGCTCACCTCCGAAATTTGTACACACACATCACCCCGACGAATTGGAATCATTCGAGAACACATCAAGATTACACAGATCGCTTCTTTAGCCTATTGAACTTTACATGTGTTACAGCTGAATATCTAAAATCAAATTTGGAATTGGATTCTCTACCCATCAGTACCTCGAGAGTACCTACCTACCTAATCCATATCAGACCCGACCATCCGTCCCCCTTTAGAAGCAATTTTTGTTCGTCAAACACCTCCAGCTGCATCCCTTGAACTCTCAATGGGGTAATACTTCGTGCATCAGAAAACCTCAACCAATATCAATATCATCCCATTTTCATCCCCCCTTACCTTTCCTTTCCTTTCCTTGATAAATACCTAAATACCTAAATATCAACATGCGTGTCATCCATTTCACCATTTCGCCATTTCACCAATCTATTCAATCCAATTCTTCCCATCCCATCCCATCCCATCCATCCCTCCACTCCAATCACCACAATAACACAATCCTCATCTAAACTCCACCCGCAACATGACCGACCGACCACAGACCACTAACCAACTTCAAATATACAGCCGTTCTTCGTAGCGCATGAGTAAATAATATAGTAAGTGAGCGAGTGAGTGAGTGAGTGACTCATTCTGACATCTATCATCTATTCATAGGTACTAGGTACTATTTATATACTAATTATCTAGTATCTAGATAAGTTAGGTAGATCGGTACTAGGAGATTATAGGTACTCGAAGATACTGTATCATCTAGATAGGTACCGGTAGTGTAGTTTAGTGATGAACTATGGGGTATCTAGTAACGATTTAATGGTGAATGGAAATCTGAAATTTGAAATTTGAAATCTGGAATCTGAAATTATGGTGTGAGTTTACTGTGTGAGATGATGAGTGGGTGGTTGAGAGGAGATATTGAGTATAGATATATATTGAGTATATATAGGTAGGTAGGTATATGTAGGTAGATACTTATTATTAGTTCTAAATACTTTTGCTTATTACTAGGTAGATAGGTGTTTATTTATATGACCTCGATATCTTAAAATATATATTCACTTTAAGTATTTAATCTATATATATTTCAGAATAGTATAAATAGTATAAATAGAATAAATAGGATAAATAGGATAAATAGTATAAATAGGAGAAATAGGAGAAATAGTATAAATAGGATAAATAGGATAAATAGGATAAATAGGATAAATAGAATAAATAGAATAAATAGAATAAATAGAATAAATAGAATAAATAGAATAAATAGAATAAATAGAATAAATAGAATAAATAGAATAAATAGAATAAATAGAATAAATAGTATAAATAGTATAAATAGTATAAATAGTATAAATAGTATAAATAGTATAAATAGTATAAATAGGATAAATAGGATAAATAGTATAAATATAAACAAATACTCATCTATATAATATTATATAAAACACTAACTAGATATTATAGATCTACCTCCCTAGTAGGTATTTAGACGCGCTACGAGTAGATAGAATAGATTTCTGTAATTATAACGCTTGAATTATTAATAGATAGATTGATTATAACTCTATCGTAGAGTAGAAACTAAACTCATAGTAAGTAGGTAATTAGTAATTAGCTATAAATGAGCAGGTAGTGGGAGAGTAGGTAAATCCATAGGCAAGTAATAAGTAAGTAGATAGGTAATTTGTATATTTAATACAATCCAATCAATAAAATCGAGAGAGAGAGAAAATAAATACGTTATACTAGCTTACTACTACACTCCTACCTTTTACATGTGATTCCGATCGACTATTTCGCTGCTTGGCATACGATATACAACACAACTACCTATGTACGAGTATCGTAGAAGAATATTTTTAGTCTATCCATGTGCAAAGGTTAGGTACATAAACACAAGCATAAATACCTACGAGTATAGAAAAAATCAATCTCGAGATTCGATATTCGAATTTGGTTTTTCTTCATTACCTACCTAGTATGTAGGTATGTACGAAGTCTGGAGATCTTTATTTTATCTCCGGATGCTTTCTATCTATGATTATGATTGTCTAGGTATGATGCATGCATACTAGGTACTTAGTGTACTGGTGCGATGATATGGTACTGGTACCGTATGATAATCATTGATAGGTACTTTATCTACGATATGGATTCGAGCTATGCTCTATGATTTATTCTATTCAAGTCAAGTTAGTCGACTGGTGAACCTACCCCGCTGCATCAATCAAATACGGAGGTTGGATGGGTAAGTAATGTAAAACCCACCAAAAACCGACCGTGCTTTTCTCCATATTTAGGGGCTTTAGCCAATCATATCGTCACGCTGGTTGAAAATTTATATAGTGAACTCTAGGTGGTGGAAGTATTGTAAAAGTCATGTTTTATTTACAATTTATTCAAAATCACTAATTTCTTATTGAATTTTGATTCGAAATTCTATCTAGAATCTATTTAGAACCTATCAGAAGCTTCAAATACTTCGAATACTGAAAAACTATTAGAATTGATAAAAAGCAAGTAAAAGCTTTAAAGATTGAATTTTGGAGGGGAATAGTTCAATATCTATTCAAATCGCTTAAAGCAGCAATAGAATCTATAAAAACAGCAAGATTTTAGTAAAAGTGGGGTTTACATTAATTACCCTTCCAACCTCCGTACTAGGTAGATACTTAGCTCCACTCCACCCAAGCTACCTACCTACCCAAATCTAATCTGGTAATGGTTATCGTCTGTTAGTTAGATGTGGTATGGTATGGTATGTATGGTATGGTATGGTGGGACACACCAAAGGAAAATAAAATAAAATACAAGTAGAAGGAAAGTTAGTAAAGTTAATCCAAGATTTCCCTGGGTAGGGTGAGTAGGTTACTATTACTGGGTTACTAATACTGGGTTACTAGGAGGAAACTTACTCATCATGGTATTTGATGGGTGGGTTAGCTATGCGATTTTGTGGTTGTATCGTAGGAAGCACGGAGTAGAGTGTAAGCTAGAAAAGATAGGGGTATGGATAGGTGGTTCTGGGAATGGACTTGGATATGGATATGGATATGGATGGAGATCGAGGGATTTGGAATGGAATGGAGGGAGGGGATGCGATGGAGAGGAAATGAAAAGAAGGGTTCTTGCCCTCATCTCGTGATTTTTTGGGAGGGGGTGGATGTGGTTTTTGATGTGGTAAGGTATTGGTAAGGTATTGTGAGGTATCGTGAGGTACATACAGTAAGGTATTGGTAAGAACACCGTCAAATGATCCAATAGTGGAAGAAGAGACTAGATTTGATATGTACGTAGTAAGTGAGTTGTAGATTGGTGAGGTGGCATTTTTTGTGCGTGTGGGGAAGGGGGGGTTGTCTTGAGGGAGAGGGGGGAGATTTATGGTTAGGTATGGTCGTATGCTTACCATGGTGTGTGTGATTGTTAGGAAATCAGGATTGGGATTGAGATTGAGATCACGACTGGCAAAGAAGAGGGGTCACTTGAGAAAATGGCGGGGGTAGGGTTGGAGCGGCCCGAATGTGGATGAGGGATGGGTGGGTGAGTTGAGAATGCGATGAGATTGGTAGGGATAGGGATGGGGATAGTAGTTGGCTGAGTGGAGTAAGTGAGCGGAAGGGCAAGTGCCCTAATTTGGATTTGTTTTGTTGAGGGTTGAATTGGATTGAATTGAATCGGGATTGGGGATTGGTTTGGGTAGGTATTGACATGGAGGGGTTGTTGTGGAGTATAAGTGTGAGTGGTGGGGTGGGAAATGAGATTACTCCCGGTGAGTATCTTGATATGGTTGATCAATTGTTTGATGGTATGTCGGGTAAGTTTGATAGGTAGGTAGATTCGGAAATCTTATGTCTTTGGTTTTTTATGTTATTCGGATGGATGTTGGTTCGAAGATTGAATGGGATGTGGAGTGAAGGAGGGGGTGTTGATATGAAGATCTTTGAGTATAAAGTTATGTTCATTTTGTTGTATCTATCAAAGTGATGAAGTTCTAGTGGACTCTTGATATCATGAGAGTTTATTGTTAATTCATTTATGTGTTTACTTCTGCGAAGTTACTGTCTGCTGCCTTCTGTTTACGGTCTATCTTGCCCAGAAAAGGATGATTCTCATAAGTTTATTCAGAAAATCTGTATCACTATTACTCGACATCACAAAATCTTCGGAGAAGGAAGAACATTCCTGATTTGCATCTCGGGACTAGAATCATATAGTACGGGGCGATGTTGTAGTCCTAATACATACATATATTCAAACCGAATATCTAAACATCGCCTCTCAAGGGACGTTGTACTCAATATCTACTTTCTGTCAATCAACCCCTTTTCTAGAGAAGACATTTCGTCGGTAACCATATCATGTCATACATGTATGGAACTCTACCCGTTGTGGAGATCATAAGAAACTCAGTATACAGAATTTCATCTGTTCTTGGGAGTGAATTCTTCGCTGAACATGATATTACATATCACATATTGCATATTGCATACCGCGTATCATATTGAAAACTCTGGACTCATTCACAAAAATGAAGGTTGGTGATCATTGTGGAATCATCTAGTGATCTGTTCAGCATTATTGCACATAAGTTTTCTGTGCGGCGGCATTTGGGATAGGGTTAAAAGATGAGGTCGGTCTCTTGAGTTGTGGGGGGCTTGGTTGTTGGTTTGTAGTGGTGATATTACTTTAGGATAGGGTGATATGAGATTTTGATCTTTAGGTGCTATGAATAGGAAAATAAGAAAGTTGGATGGGCTACTGTGGAATCGAAGGGGTGACTAGAAAATGTTAGCTCGTCTGCCACTGCAACGAGGGGATATTCTAGGTGTTTATGAATCTATCCCATATTGTCTTGAGTGGAGGGGTCGGTGTATAACTTGTGGGTTTCTTGTTCATGAGTGGAATAATCTTGTATTGGGGAAGATCGCTTCTCTCTCTCAGAGCCACTATCTGCCGACGAATATGTTTGACACCAGACTGAGAAAGAATGAGGGAATGATTGTATGGAGAATGGATGGAGCAAAACTCAAATAGAGATTATCGTTTGATGAGACTGGAGATACTCGTAGGAGGTACATAACTTGGTGCATATAATCATGAAATAGTTGAGTGGTATACCCCGTCAGCGAGTTATCTTTTTGACTATTCCTAAGACTTTCCATAGTAAGTATCATATGGAGGCTTTGTAGAGTATGTGGTGCGGAGTACGTGGGATAGGGTAGGACATGAAACAACTTGGAGATTTCTCTAGTTTTCTTCTTTTTGCGATGGAATGAAGACATATGAGTGTTTCTATCGTTCAAACGTATCCTATTGATGACTGTAGACTGATGATTCATAAATAGGATATAATTGATTCATACGAGATTTTCATTGGAGTCACTGGTATTTTGATGGGAATAAATGGATCGAGATTCGTAGGTTTGAAAAAGCTTTTCCTTAACCTTTCCCTTTTCGTTTCTCTATCACTGGCATTGCGCATCTATTCAGGAAACTTCATATCATTTACATTTTTCTCAAGAGGCATCTATCTAATTTCACAACCATCATTAACATCAAGCAGCCATGCTACCCCTAACTCGAGATTTCTGGACCGAACGTTGGCATAGTTACAACACGGCATTGGAGAAGTGCAATCATTGTAAAATAAGCTTTGCACTCTACGACTGCGGCTGTGTCAGAATGACTCTCCCTCATTTCGATAACGATCCCCTCAGCAAATCATGCAGAATTTATCCTATTTCCAAAGACTCCTCCAAACCCGAACCTAAACCAACCACAAGACCCAAAATTTTCTACAAGCGAAAAAATCATGGCTGCGGAAGAGTCAACAGAGACCCTAAAGATAAATGCCTATGGGATGGGAAAGAAGTATGGGATGGGAAAGAAAAAAAACAATGTTCAGATTGCGAAGACCATGTTGAAATCTGCAAGAAATGTACTCGTGTAAAAATGGGCCCTGCGAAAAAATGTCGGAAGGAAAGGGATCGTTACGATCAAAGAAAACCGCGGAAACATATGCCACATTTTTTTCGTCGTGATGGCGACAAATTCTGCAGTCCAGAATGTGCAAAAGAACAAGCAGATTTTGACAAGGAACAACGAATCTTGGAAGAGGAGAACGCCCGAAGAAGAAGTGAGAACGAGGCTCGGAAAAAGGAAGAAGCTAAACAACATCTTAAGTTTGTAGAAGATTACGAGCGAAATAAAAGGGCCAAGGACCACAAAGGGATATACCATCCACTTATGGTCGTGTTTCGTCATCATCGACTTCCTCGAGATCGTCAAATAATCCATATCGCCATTAGACTAATGCTCAGCTTGCGGCATTCGCGCGAAATACCACTCCGACGTACAGAAAATAGCGAGGCGGTGGGACGCTGGGTGTAGTTGACTGCTTTGACATGGGTCTTGTCAAGGTCGTGTTGATTGGTATGTTTATTGAGTATAAGTCAGTCAGGCATGTAGATGGCATGTCTTACGGACTATTATGGATGGATTGCTAATATTACCTTATTCTAGGATATTCTGTGGCGTTGGTAGTATTAGGGAATGGGGGAGTTGGTTGCGGAGTTTAGATAGGGGTTTTGGGAGTTATTTTTCATTTGTCATTCAAGGAATTTGGGGAAAGGCTTGACATGGAACTTAAGGAGAGATCTTGGGGAGTTCTTTGGTGGTTTTGCGGGAACTGGGGTTTTGGGTTAGAGAAAGACGAGGCTTCCTATATTCAATATCAGATGAGTGTTTGTCAAGTGCAGACTCATAAGTTGAATCATTATGGAACATGTATTTTTAGTTTATCTGGGAGTCACTCAGAGAAATGTGTTCAAAAGGATTCACATTTTCGATTCGGAGTTTCTTTTTCACTTCTTCTTTACATTACAAATGCGAGAGCTTTTAAAACCATTCACATCACATTTTGATCTTTGAACTAAATCAACAACTACCATTCAGATACTACTATTTCAATATGTCTCATTACTCGAAAACCACTATGGATTACCAATACGATGATCAGCAGCAACAAACAATTATGGATTCCCAATACGATAATCCGCAGCAACAACGACAAAGTCAAAGCAAAGTTAGCGAAGAACAAAGAGAGGCTATCCGTAAACAGAACGAAAAAAGAGAGCACAAGAACTATGAACAGCGAAAGAAAAAGGAACGTCAATATGCAGAAGCTCGAGTCAATGGAAGGGTCGATGAGGAAAAAGATCGTCCCCAAGGCAAGAAAGCCAGTGAACGCCGTTATGGAAAGAATTCTTCTGGAGAAACGAGCGTGAGGAAAGGTGTTCATTGGAAATAGAGGTTTTGAGGGGTATCAGGCGTGAGGAGGCTATCATGGTATGTGGTGTTCGATGACACAATTTGGAGGTTTCTTTGGTTTCTTTTGTCATATGCTTTTCGGTTTCGGGTTTGATGGTATTTGGATTCTGGCATGACTCTATCCTAAGAGAAATATCATATATATGACTGCAAAGTACAGTTGTATCTGTTGACTCAAAATGGGATAGGTTGTTAGATTCATAGACGAGGATCTCTTGAGTCTTAGTTAGGAATCATCCTGGAGGGTTGGAGCAGATATACCTCACAGGATTAAAATTCCTAAATTGAGATTCTTTCTTACTTCTTATTACATTACCAATACGAGATTTTTTGAAAACACTTTTCATTTTTTGATTTTCGAACTAAGTAAACAACAATCAGCAAACTTCCATTCAAACAAAATGGTTTACTATTCCTCACGCTTCACCCCCCAGAACGAACACTACAATGATTACCGACCGCAGACTACCCAAGAATCTGGCTACTCTCCTTCAAATCTGTTTCCACCACCAACGCCAAACACCTCTTCCCGTGATCCACAACACGATACCCGTAGAACTTACCCACCCCAGCCCCAGAGGCGAATCCAGCGCTCCTATTCGCCTCTTCCAAAACCGCCAATAGGACCAACCCAAGACTCACGTGCGCCTTCACCAACACCTCCAAGACCGCCTCCTCGTGCCCAGACATATCCGTCCGTTAATCTGCATGCTCGTGGAAATAGCACCTTTCACGGCTCAGAAGGCAAAAAATCACAAGGGAATCCCGAACAGGAAGATCGGGCAAGATCTTCCAGAAGGGGAGTTCAATATGAAGAGATAAAGAAAGATGGAGAGCGAAGGAAGAAACCTGAAGAGAAGAGAAGAGAGCGTGAGACCAGAGATCAACGTAAATACAACTCCGAGAAAGAAAAATTGAATTATCGAAAACGAGTGGAGAGAGATCGTAATCGACCGGTTGATAGACCAGAGGTTAGACCTAGTAGGAGATCAAGAGAAGGAAGTTCACTGGGAGGGGCAGAGGGTTCGAGATTCGCGTGGTTAGTTGCTTGTGGGATATGCATAGCTTGGTAAGTTTTTCTACACTTCAAGCGGTGGTTGCTCAATGTACGTTTGGATTAGCGGCTAAGTGTCAACTCTTCTAGGGATCTTTCTTAGGATATAGATATGCGGAGCATGTTTTGATATGCGGTATAGGATGACGCGGTTTGGGGATTTGTTTTGTTTCTTTGGTTATTTCTTATTTCTGGGGGATTGGAAGGGAATATTCGGGCGATTTTGTCTTCAAGGGATATCACTGCAGAGTGCAAACCCATGTTTAAGATGGTTGGCTCAATATTTTACACCTTTTAAATTCATAGGCAGGAACTTTATAGCTCGGAGTCATTTCAGAACCTGAATACTCGCTGGTTCGATCCTTTTTTTTCATTTAGTTTGCTGTACAATGCAGCTTTACTTCTGGTGCTTTACAATATTATGTCTTTTTGAAACTTAACACTTTATTCTTCTATCGTCTAGATATGCCAGGCTTTTGTGGTGAATACTTAAGATGTCTTATACAGTAAATCTCCTACCAGGTGTCGCACGTGTGCGATTACTTGCCGTGCCCGCAGCTGTGAATATATCATGATTGAATTATCAGAAAACACAAATATTATGCCCCAGATTAGATCACTGATGTACAATCACTGTTGAAGTTTGGTTTTTTTTAGAAAGGCAATGACTCCATCTCTGAGTTGAGTTCTTACTATGCCATGACTTTTAAAAGCAAAGTCTTACCAGGCTTTGACTGGTTTGTTCTGTATTATTTCTGAATGAGTGTCATTTTCATTGGATCATTGGAATTTTTATCAATGTCCAGCAGTCATTTTTAGTCTATAGCGGGTTATAAGGATTCAGGATCGCCGGTTTGGGGATTTTCTTCCTTTCCTTTACATCAATAATTCAAGTCTATCTGCAGACTTCATACGAGACTTCAAACGTGTACAGTATCATCAAATAACAACAAGCATACATAAATTCCGAAGATGTCGTACAACAACTACCGTCACCAGGATAACCGCCATCGGCTCCAAGATTTCACTCCTCGGGCGTCACAACCTCCTACAACTTCCTATATTTCTCCTTCATATAGGCAGCATACACCCCGATATGCTACCACAGCGCCACAGAGCGACGTACCTTCGCGGTGGTCAGATACAAATTCCACAACGAACTTGTCTGAAACAACATCTCTAACAGAATCAGAGAAAGAGAGGCTGGTTCATGAAGAAACAGAGGGAGATCGTCGACGTTATGAGCAATGGAAGAAATGGGCACGTGAACGGAAAGAAGAATATTGGAAGGAATGGGCACGTGAACAGGAAAGGGAAGATAGGTTAAAAAGTGCAGCTGCGAACGCTCGTAGACAGGAGAGGAGGTATAGACTCCAGGTACTGGAAAGACAGATACGCGAATATGAGGATTTGATATTGGAAGCTGATAGAAAGAGGAAGGAAGCTGATGGACAAAGAAGGGAAGCTGACAGACGGGCGATGTTACGCACAAGTTCCTCAGACAACAATCACTCGAGAAGTGAACGAGCCACTAGATACGCGGTGGGAACATCAGATCGACGACTTCTCTACACGCATTTGTCTGATGAAGCGCTCATCGGCATTGCAAAAGAATGCGAGAAGAGAAGTGAGCGCAGCTGGAGACACTAGATATTGCAGGTAGAATTTTGAGTCGAAAAAGGTATGCTTATTCACTCTTATTAAATGAATAGTGTTGACGATGATTAGCATAATTCGGCCAGTCGGGGCTTTTGAACAATTTTAGTTAGTTGGAGGATGGATGATATTAATATTTTTTGGATTTTGGGGCAGATTTGAGGAGTCTTACAGGTGTTTTTGGAGGAAGTTTTCTATGTATCTCAATTTTTTTTGATTATGTTCAAATGCGTCACGTTTCGATAAAGTGAATGAACATAGTAACACCATACAATTAAGCGGCGATGACAGTTCAAGCGGTCTTGGCAGACAGTGAATATGAAAATACAGACGTCGCTGAAGACTGAACAGTAGTTTGCTCCCCTTGAACTTATCAATCTTACGAAAGTTGAGTTTATGCTTGTTGGACATCTTTCCTCGGTAAAAATAGGAGAGACCCTACATCTCATTTGACGCAACCATTAAATTCCAATACTACGTCAACTTCCTTCGAGCATGTTTCAATCATTATTAAAACATCACCACTGGTTGTGTAGTAGAGCCAGTCACTCATATGATAGTTACGGAGTCATCATGAATTGTATTTTTGATTCATAAGAGAATTTGGCATTATCTTGGAGTCAATATGGTGGATACTCAATCCTGATAAAAGGTTCAGCTTACCCTGGACTCTCTTTTTTCTTTGAATTCTCTTCATACTGACAACACACTTCTGTCTATCAAACTTCGAATCGTTTACACTACATATTTCTTGATAATACACCACCACTCAATATCAAATGGTCATGTCTCTTAAGAACCGGCCCGACGAAAAGTCTCTTAAGAACTGGCCCAACGAAAATTATCCTGGCTGCGACGTGTATTTGCCAGAATGCAAAACATGTAAATTACAGTACTGGATCTATCTTTGTGGGTGTATCAAATTTACCTGCCCTGATGTTCCCAATATTAGGGTAAAAGGTAGCTGCTGGACATGTCATCAGTATATGCCCAGTGACGGACACCCGGAGCCAACTACAAAACCAAAGATCGAGAGCTATGTAGAATCGACTACTTGTGGAAAAGAGGAATGTGCGGAGACCTCTGGGCTTCCAAAGTGCCGAAAATGTGCAACTGTGATCATCATCTACAAATGTGCACACTTGAAGAAAAAATCAAGACACTCGTGCGAAGGGTGCCATCCTAGCAAGAGCAAATATCGCAGCAGTCAACCAGAGCTACAACTCGTACCTCACAATGAAAATCCAGATGGCATGGTTTGTAAGAATTACTCAGACCACGAAGAACGTCGAAAAAAGCGCAAAGAGTTGATTTCACAGAAAACAGTACCAGTTTTTTCTAACTCTCAATCCTTTCAGCCAAAGAGCCACAGGAAACTAAACCCTGATTATCCCACAATCCCGGACGCTACTTTCAAGAGACCAACAGTAGCAATACAACGAGAACCAACGCTACCGCCACATCATGACCATCAATATACATATCCACAAGAACGTGAGTCGGAGACCAAATACGCTCATACACCGGTGATGACATCGACCCATGAATCTACAACATCAGCCCATGGAGATTATGGATATGAGGGGGGATATCCGCATGGGCAGCCAAAACCCCCGTATTTCCCTGTCCCTGGCTCTGCGATACCACAAGCTTGGGAACAGTCACCGGAACCATTGATAGTAGAGGAAAATCCACAAAGATACGCAGATTGGCGGAACGAACGGGAACGAGAAGAAGCCCGTTTCAGTAGGGCGGCCGACAGAATAAGTACCGAGGACGCTGCCCCTTATGAATCAACCTTACCCCGAGAAAACGCACACGCGAGGGAGCATAGAGAACCGGCGCGACGATCAAGCCGCCATGGCAGATAGTCGTCGAGCGATAGAACGTACTTAGACGAATGGGCATTTCCAGTGGAGTTCAAATTACTGCTTTTGGGATACACTTCTGGGTGAGTTCCTTAATGACTCCATATGCTCTAGAAAAACATTACTAATCTACAGTCACTGTCAAAGTTTCGTTTGAGGGGGGATGACTCTACCTTGGGGGAATTTGTATCATAGTGTGGTCTACTCTACACAATCATACTATGTATGGCATTAACTGAATCATTATCGAATATGTTTCTTTTTATTTGGGAGTCACTTGGAGTCTGGAAAGAGGGTTATATGGGTTGAGGCTTGCTGGTTTTGGGAGTTCTTTTCTTCTTCTGTTTTCTATCAACAATACAATTTTACTTTCGTTGCTTTCAAATATCACAATTCTTTTGAAACATACCTATCTTGAAATAAACGCTTGTGTCAAATCGCGTCATGACAAGAGAACCTCTACGCACGTCCGCCGACAGTGGCTCCACCAGAGAGAGAGAGTAGCCTGTGCCTCCGCTTTCCGAAATGTGCAGCTGCCAAAATGCACAACTTGTCGCGTATCCTACGACTTCTTTCTTTGCGGATGCTATATAGTAAGTCGTCCTGTATGGGCAGCGAACGAAAATAGCTGCACAACATGCATTCCATCAGAATTTAGAGTTGGACGAGCAGAGCCAACTACCATACCCAAAATCACTGCCACTTTGGGAGAGGAAACTTGTCCAAACCCCGATCATGCCAGGCAAGAGGATTGGAAAGTTTGTGGAAATGACGGGGTTCGTGGACAGTGCAAGACTACGATTTCTGTTTACCCGTGCGGGGATATTCATATACATAATCCTCAGTTATGTATATGGTGCAACACTCCTCATCGGACTACTTGGCCGAAAGTCGAGTTAAAGGTTTATACCGAGAGTAATGAAGTCTGTGAGAACTATTCCCAGTACAAACATGTTCGAAGAGAGCGGTTCGATCAAATAGAGGCTGCGAATGTAAGACATCATCTAGAATGGAAATGCACTGAAAATGCACAACCGAAACGGCAGGAAAATGCCCAAATACTTCAAGAGTAAGATCAACACCCCCAAAAATAAAAAAGCGAGAAGCTAACAGGGACCCACAGGGACCCGCATGGACCTGGAGAAGCTCGAGCATCTACACCTGCATCAACATCATCATCTAGACATCATCATTCCTCGCGTGGACATCGAGGATCAGGTTCGCCACGAGACTCTGGTTTCAGTCCCAGCCATACTTTTTAAGTACCAGAGCCGAGTCATATCGTATGACTTCCTATCAATATGACTCGATACCCTTATCCCACCAATTTTCCCTACAAGCAAAAGTCATCACGTTCTGAATCAGGGCGGGTCCCTGATTCATATCAACATTATCTTCCCATTCATGTTCATTTCTTTGGAAGGAGTTTTCTCACTATTTCGCTTCTGTATCGACAATACCATCCCATCCCATTTCCTATCTATTTCTTTGGGAGGAGTTCCGATCATATTGTGTTTTAGAATGGAGGTTACATTTCATTTGTCATTGGCGTCATTCTCTCAGGGAAAGTTCAAATAGCGGGATATTTTAGAATGAGGTCAAATCACATCGTTGTTTTACTCTCTTCATGAGTCTTTTTATTTGCGCGTGATATCAATTGTGCATCTTCAAACGGTGAACTTCTTGTTTTAATGAAATATACAGATGTGAAATACAGATGTGAAATACAGATGTGAAATACAGATGTGAAATACAGATATGAAATACAGATGTGAAATTAAGGTCTGAAGAATTGCTACCATCCTACCAACCAATGATAGAAAATCTCATGATGCAAACCAATGTATACAATCCATAGCCCATCTCAAAACTGCTGAAATTACCCCTGAATCTTGAACTTACTATTCTTTCCCTCATCATGATACTTTTCATAAAGAAAATTCGCTCCCACAACCGTCAGATTTTCTCTCTCTGCCCATTCTCTAATCCCACTCCCTGGTTTCTCGAAACCCCAATGTTTCCTCTCCTCAGGTTCCTTCAAATCTACATTATCACCCTCTAGCAACACAAATACATATCTGTGTTTTCCTGTTCCTTTTGGTGGCGCTGGTGCTTTATCTATTCCTTCCGGTCAGCTTACTCTATCCTCCTTCACCAAATTCTTTCTTTCCCTCAAAATTGTCTCGCCGATAAGAAGAAACATAAGAATAATAAAGAAGAGAAACTCACAACCAACAACCCCTACCTCCTCCAACTCACTTCCACTCCACTCTCCACTAACCCCTTCTCTTCCAACTACAGCCTCAGGAATCCTCGCAATCCAATGACACATCTCAGACATGCTATCATCATCCCTCGAAGGTGCATCTGGATCTGTAAGGATAATAGTCAAACCACCCTTAACATGATATTTCCCAGGACAGAAAACTTGGATCGAGGGCGCGGATTGAGTCTGCGAGGGGCGGAGTTTATTGCCCAATTTTACTTTCTTTGAGGAAGACGAGGAAGGAGAGGGAGTATAAGAGGGAAGAACATAACAAGTGGGGATAAAAGGATCGAGAACATCGGGGATGATGGATGACTTCTTGAGACTGGCCATCGAAGCGTTAGTTAGCATGGTGATAATTCTATATCAGGTTGAGGCGGACAGATACGGACGTTTTCTTGATTCCTTTCAAGGACTTGAGTTTCTCAGTACGTAGTCCATCAGATCCAGAAATATCATAATCATACGATTCTGGAGATAAAACAAAGGCGGAGCTGAGCTCAATGAACGCTGTTAGAAGAAGCGTGAGGGACGCAAGTAATTGCATGCTGGCTATATGAATTGGGTTGGTTGGAATTGGGTTTCTGCTTGCAATGTAAGATAGTTTTGATAAATGAACAGAAAGAAATTAACGTTGAAATTATGCTTCTTTACATAGACATTCGATATTGTAGCACCTGTTTGCTGGGCAGACGTTGCCGATGACGTCGGCATGCTCAAAAACGAGGGGTAATCACGTGAAAACTTCCTCCGAGTGGCAATCACGACGTCGATGCAAGAACTATTCTCGGTAGTAAGGAGCTCTTCAAGATGTATGCGAAAAAGATTCCGATGAAACCCTGAATTGAGGAGTTTCAGGAGGTGAATATGAAGAATTAGAATACATTGTACTTGTATTTTAGTTCTTGCTGGTGGTGGATCTTGTCCATGACCAGGAAGAAACTCCGGATCCCAACTAAATCGCCTTTTTGAGTTTTCAACGCTGGATCGCCTGGATTATAATTGATTTCTTTCTCACGTCAAAGATATCTTATAAAAGATAAGTCCCAAAAGGTAAAGATATAACGTAATGTGTGGGAGAAGCATAAAATGGTCATGAATTATTTACTTGATCAAAGCTATTGTATAGGAACAGCTTCGATCCCTCTAAGTTTTAAATGATCTTTCAAAGTCGATCCCCGTATTACGCCACTCATCCATGAATCATACATATCTCGAGGCTCATTACATGATCATCTATGAGATTTCCTTGACACGACATTTCCATCCGGAGCCAGCCTCAAGTAACGGAAGACTATTAATCGTTAGAAATGGCATTAAAGGGAGGAAAAGAGGAATAAAACATACCTAGCACCGAGACACCATCCAAGCTCATTACCCTTGAGCTTCTTTGCAATCTTGACCTCTCTGTCAATTGGCATTTCGTAACCGGTATGCAACAAAGCCATCATGAAGTTCAAATCAAGACACCATTCGGGTCTATCTCTCAATTCCTTTATGGCATCAGGGATGCTAGTAAACATATCCCAGTGAGACTCGCCGCCACAAACTTGGCTGGTAAGATCGTGCATCTCTCGTAAAGTGAAGGATTCTGGCATTCCAAGGGGATCGGTACGGTCGAAGAAGTATGAGAAGGTGTACACATCCTCATGTTGAAAGGTCTTTTCTAGAGAAGGTTGATGAACACCATTGAAGGAGCAAGGTGCAACTTTACATTCGGCTTCTTTAACCAACATCTTTTCTGCGAGTTTGCGGCATTGAGCTGGTGATGGGGAAGAAGGACCCTTCATGACAAATTCATTCTTCTCGCCCAACTTAGCACGAAGAGGGTGTTTCTCGTCAAATGCAATATCAACTGAACGGTTCATGCCTGGCGCAATACAAGGATTGATGATTGGCGATGCGGTCCAGGAGAGGTCTGAAGGATTGGCTGCATGAATGTCATCGATGAGAGTCTTGTGAATTGTTTCACGGGCTGCCATTAGACCATATCCCAAGTGAGAATGCTGGTATAGCTCGAAATCTCTTCCGCCAAATGTAAGTTTGTATTTATGGTCACCTTCAGCCATCTTCTCGGGTAGTTTGAACTTTGGCTCAAAGACAACTTGGGTCGAACCTCCACCAAGATCGAAAACTGCTGCAGTATCTCCAGGAGCTGGGCCTCCAATGTTACCGAGTAAGAAGTTGGTTGTGATCCAAGCGTAGACACCCTCATCAGTACCATCCATAACTTGGACTCCACCCTTTTCGTCGGATACAACCGCGAAAGGATAGACAGTCTCCAATCTGGTACGAACAGCCTTGAGGATATTGTTGCTCAATTCCGGACCAAGTTTTCTTAAACCAGCAGTAGCTTTGACAGCCACAGGAGTACAAGACTTAAGTGCATCAGGGACAGTTTTCACTGCAACATCCATAAGCATATCGAGACTCTTTGCAGCACCTTCAGCATCAGATCCATAAGAACTCAATCCGGAGCCGCCCTCTTTCTTCTCAGTCATTTTGAACTCCTCAGACTCCAACTCTGGTGTAGGGCCGCAGTTATTAAATTTGTATACGTGAACTCGAGATCCGGTACTTCCAGCATCAATCATGATGGCATATTGAACAATCGGCTTCGACTTGCTGTAGGATTTCGAGCACTTCGTTGTCCCATAAGTCGAATCAGATGGAGATTGTCCATCATTACCACCACTCTTAACTGTATCGACAGCACCTTCGACAGCACCTCCAACTGTTTATGTTAGAAAATGATATATTAGATTTTTTTATTGTGACATACCAGTGCTTGGTACCTGCGTACCGCTTGGAGACAGATAATAGAACAGGAAGACTACGAAGAGCAGGATTCCTCCTGTCTTCAAGTATCTGGACCGCTGACTTTGGGTCATTCTAGCGTTCTTTGATTTCTCCAGTTTGGAAGCGGCGCTTTCGTTTGCGCCCGAATTACTATATCTTGCAAACTTCTCGTGAGGGTCGTGTGATGTACTCTTCGATGGGACAGAGACAGAAGTACGTCGCATCTGCGAAAGAGCGACTATGAATGATAAGTAGAACTAACCACCTAGACTAATTACCAGCTCAAGCCAAGTAAATATAAACTAAGAAAAAAGCGAGTGAAAAGTCTGGTAAGAGAAAGGATTGGTGAAGTTCCAGATCCTATTACTTAGGTATACTTTTAGGGAATGAGAAAAGAACAAAGCTGTTCCCTTTTTTAATTTCATGAGAATAAATTTAAGTAAGGGCAGAAAATGGGAATGAGAAATAGGGGACGTTTTGCCTTCTATCCTTGCATTGGATTTGAGTGCTGTGGCTAAATTTGGGATTGCGGCGATGAATGATTGGTTGCAGGTGATGTGTTGTTAATTATCGTAGAGTGAAGGGGCTTGTGGAGGTGTGGAGATATCAACGCCTTAATGATAAAGATTTTTATTTTAAGTTTGGAGCTTATCGTGAACAGCATGATCACGTGTACGGGGTAAAAAGTGATTAGTCACAATCGAGGTCCTCAACGGCGGGGTTTCTTTATCAACATGTTAATGACACCCTTCGACCGAGTTTCCGAAACATCGTCAGCTCGAAGTTGCCTTCGGTGATAAATCTTATGTCTTTCATTCATAGAATGATATAGAACAGATACTATACCCTACATGATATCGTTCATGATGCTACCTCAATAAATACCCTAAGTTTGGTTTCTCTTATTTTGCTTTTCTCTTTCCTACCACTTTCCTCTCTGTCTCTCTCTTCTACTAACCTGCACATATCCCCTTTCTACCCAACACGCTCAAAAATCACAGCAACAGAATAATGAACGTTCAGCTATATGTCTATGATCTGTCGAAGGGCCTAGCACGCAACTTGTCAGGAGCTTTGTTGGGAGTCCAGATTGATGCTATTTACCACACCTCTGTTGTTTTCGAGGGCATTGAATATACTTACGATGGAGGGATCAAAACTGTCAAGCCTGGCGAAACTCATCTGGGTAAGCCATTGCAGATTATAGAGTTGGGGAAGACGGATCTACCTATGGATGTGATTCTGGAATATCTGGACTCTTCGAAAGAAATCTACACCTTTGAGGTAAATTCTCCTTCGATTTCAAATCTCTTGTCATAAGCTAATTGCATGTAGGCGTATGATCTCTGGAAACACAATTGTAATAACTTTTCGAACGATTTTGCTACATTTCTGGTTGGCCAGGGAATCCCCGAGCATATTACGAACCTCCCGGAAACTGTTCTCAATACTCCATTTGGCAGAATGATTCAACCGCATTTCGATGATTATGTTACTTTGAACAATATGAACAATGGCGGTCTGTTGGGCATCAAAAATACAGAAGATCCACAGCAGCAAGCATCGATGTCACAGGTTCGACATGCCCAAACTTCTGCTGAATTGAACAATCTCTTGAACCTAGCCAGGAAGAAATGCGCAATTATTTTCTTTACTTCCCATAGTTGTGCTCCATGCAAACCTCTATATCCTGTCTTTGAGCAACTCGCAAAGGATGCAGGACGCAAAGCCGTTTTCATAATAGTTGATATTGCCCGGTCATATGAGATTGCCACAAGATACAGTGTTACCGCGACGCCGTCATTTGCAACCTACTTACAAGGCGAGGAGGAAAAACGTTGGGCGGGAGCGGATGTAGCAACTCTACAACGAAATGTAGGGCTTCTGATACAAATGGCGTTCCCGCCACATGCACATGAGTCTTTACGTCTACCAGCACTTCGTGCACCAAATACGTTGCCAGTTATCTTTACCAAAGTTCCGCCGCTTGAAAAACTCAAAGCAAAGATGGGACCTGCTGCTGATGTTCCAGCAGTCAAAGGGGTTCTCCACTTCGTATCAGAGGGACAATCAAAGCCCGCAGCACAGACTCATCTCCCGGATCTGGATGCTTTCAGTTGGTTTTTACGAGAAGCTCCCTCTAAATTGCCTACTGAAATCTTGTTTACAATCGTTGATGTCCTTCGATGTGCTCTTGTGGACCCAAGACTTAGTGGTTATTATGCCGAGGAAAAGAACCACAAAACCATTGCACCACTATTCTCACATATCAATAGTCTTAAAGACTGTCCCTATTCACTCCGTTTAGTCGCACTTCAAACAGGTTGCAATCTATTCACAAGTCCCTTATACCCTCAACACATTCTCGGCTGTCCGGCCCTAACCAACCCACTCGTTCAACTAATCACAACCTCGCTGCTTGATGACGCACATCATAACGTTCGTGTCGCAGCCGCAAGTCTTGCCTTCAATATGGCATTTGCCAATTCTAGTCTCCGTATAGAAGATCACAAAGAAGTATTACCAGAAAGCGAACAAATAGAACTTGCTGCATCTTTACTAGAAGCTATACAAGAAGAAAAAGAATCCCCGGAAGCATTGAAGGGATTCTTATTGGCGTTTGGACATTTGGTGTTTGGAACCCCGAAAGATGGAGAGTTGGTGGATTTATTGAAGAGTATGGACGCCCAAAGGACCATCCTGGGTAAAGCGAAGGCTTTTCCCAAGGAAAGTTTGATTAAGGAGATTGGACAGGAGTTACTTGGGAAGGGCTTGGAATAGGTGTGCTTGTGTAGATATCTGGTGTTAATAGGGAATAGACTGAACAACATACCTCTTTTCCTGAAATTGCAAGTCAGCACTTCATGTGTTCATCCGTTTGTGATACTCTGCTTCGGCATTGGTAAGGAAGTGGACAACTTGGAAGTTTAGCTCGAGCATTGATACGATGTTCCGTAGACATACGTCATAGCCGTTTGTCGACTCGGACTATAGTCTTCAGTGTAGAATTCCGAGTGCAAAAATCAACAGAGATACCTACAAGATATTGATATGCCAGATTAGATCGCATTTTGATTTCCCTACCATGGAAGCCTTATCTAAAGATTATCCTCCGCAATCGTGTCTTCCCATTGTTTTCTTCCTCTTATCCTAACTTCAAATTTACATTATTCCGTTGTAAAGTTTTGACATGGATCTCTTGACCATTTGTTCTTACTCAACTATTGGATGGTATTATCTTTGACTTCTCTGTTTGTGCTGTGTTTCTAGTTGAAGTAGATGTCATTTTTTATATCACTACTCACTTTATGACATACCAGATCTCGAATATCAGGACACACTTACCTCATCACCCACTTTCTAGAACACACCATAACGTCGCTCTCCTTCCATCCCAATCTTCACCTCACTTCACCTTTCCACTCTCTCTCCATATCCATAATATTCATAGAAATAACACCAATCTTTCACTTTGCGATACGAAAACTCATAGTTCTCATCTTGATAAGGTTAGTTTCAACTTTGAGTCATTTCTCACTTTCTCCATAGGTATGTTTTTGTTTGTTTACCTTTTCAGTTTATGAAGTAGGTTTGTTTACAGTGCCTAGGTCTGATTTGCTTTGCTTTGTGGAAATGAGACTGGAAAATTCAGGTTTGATTGAGAGGTGCTGGAACTTGGACAAGGCTGAGGGGTTTGAGATGGGGGGTTGGTTTTGAGTATGAGAGTGAAGAGAGAATGGAAGAGAGGATTAGATTTGAATTTGATATACCGGATTGAAGTGCAGGTACTATATGGTGGATGAGAGGCCATGGATTACTTCGTAATATTGCACTTTTCGCAGTACTTTATATAGGTTTTTTATGCTGTACTGGATGAAGCTTCAAAGACCAATTCTTCTTCAAACTTTTCTTCGTGCTATTTTTTGAGCGATGCAAAGGTGGAATAAACAGCTCTCTGTCGATGTCATATAGCATAAATATCAATCTTTAGAAATGATTCATTAACATGTACAGCCCTGGAGATACCAAAGACCATCAAAATGTAAAGCACAATGAGCGAGATTACTAATGTTCATCGCTTATGATGGTAAAATTTCGCTTACGATTTTGGTGCACGGAGGGGTGGGGAGAAGAATTGTGCATTTGGTATGGGATTTGTGGTGAATAAATAGGCGTGTGAAATGATATTGTATTTAATGGCAAATTTCAAGGACAGGTTCTGTGGTGTATCGGAGTGTTTGGTAAATTTTGCTCATGTAACTATATCAAATTGTAACTTTCAGCGACACTCCAGAAGATTGGGTTTAAAGCCCTGCGTGATGTTCATTTTCGGGGTATAGTCTTGAATTCTCTAGAGTCAATAGGACTCTGACTCTCGTGGGTGAAAGTAAATCGAACAAAGTCTGTTATCCCGTTTCTCATGGCCGACATTGAGGCATCTTGCTGATCCGGTGTCTGCAGACGAGGCTAGGGAGAAAGAAGGGGATTTGGCTATATTGTAGATATACAGAGGTAATTTACAGTAGATGGAAAGGGCAGGTGTGTATATTTGTTTCGGGCTGCGGAGTCTTATGTGTGGTTTCCAAACAGAGGCCTTGCTTGTATCACAATATCATGATAGCTGCAGAGCTACAGGGCTACAAGGACGTCGATTACTGTCCCTCGTGTATCTGGTTAAAGCATCCCAAACGGGTAATGCACTCTTCACGCTTCCCAAGTACTCATCTCGCCCCGCCTTCCTACTCCAATTCCCCACAGCTACCCCACACTTCATCTCCTTCCGAGACCGCACTTATTCTCCGTATCCGGAATACACAATACCAAGGGCTTAAGAAGCTATAAGAAGGGATACTTGTATCTCCAAATTCTCCCAAAAACAACAAGCCCTCTGAGGCCGGGATAGCTCTACATGGCTTCCGTCTTCCTGATATGATCCCACACCTTTACTTTGCCATCTTATTATAATGTATAACGACAATCGACGGACGCTCTATCGACTGTTTGCTATCTACTTCGAAGCCATTCTGGAGTCATCGGCACAGCATGGCTGGACGACGGGCTGCTGTCCCTTCCAGGGAATGTCCAAGGGGCGCCGAGAGCGGAGCGGGCCTGACAGAGGGACTGAACTCTGCCAACTTTCACAGTGTAGCTCCAACGAGGAACAAGGGAGAAGCAGGCTAACGGCTTGCAAGGAGGTACTCTTGCCTGAAGCTGCAACTGGATACAAGGTCTTTTATTGCGACCAGAGCAAGTTCTGATAAGGCTTGAGCCTCCTTCCGAACCGGGTTCAGACATCAACAATCTGGGCTTTCTCTTCTCTACACCTTTGCTTGATCCAGACGCTCATCCCAAGCTCACAGTATTTGTGTCCCAAGTCACTTGCTTTTTCGTGGTGTATTTTGGGATCCTTGAACTGCATTGTATAATATGGTCAGCCTATGAGAACGAATGCCATGAGAGTTCCTTGGGAGGCTTACTACAGCGCTTTGTTTTGAAGTATATTTCATGCTTTAAAGACACATGTCAAACGAGACTTACCGTGGTGCAGCTTTAAAGTTGCGGTAAGATCTGGAAAGCGCAAGCAGATTTGGTATGCAGTGTGTTTTCCAGAACTAGAATTCAGTATCTTGGACTCAACCAGAACTTCATAAAGCACCGGGATACTCCAGAAACGGAAGTTGTTGCAGTTGTTGTAGGGTGCATGGGGTTTGGGGTATTTCGCAATAAAGAAGTTCAGAGTAACGCAACTGGCCATAACAAGCAGATCGAGAGACTTGTGAGAGTACCTAGGTAAGATATAATCTCAAAGCTCGAAGAGGATAAGTGAATTGGAGAAGAAATCAGTTGGTGTGATAAGGTATAGTTGAAGATCCATGAAGCACATTTTACTAATTTTTGGTTCATCAACATTTCCAGTTCATACCATTCCTTACTGCTGCCACGAACATTATAACATCAAGGCACTTCCCATGTCCTCATAACAAGCAGAACAAGGCTACAAGAAAACCTGACGTTGAAAGCCCTGACTTTCTCGAACAGCTATTCGCTCGGTTAAGGTTGTGGTGGTCGGGCCTTGTTGCTGTCTAGCAACCTGATTATAATACTTCAAGCTTATTGTTCTTTCGCACAATAACCACAATAACCACTTTCGAACACAATACCAACTTTTGAGAAGAATTTGCACAATACACTTCCAGGAACGACAATACCAATCACACTCTTTTTTGATACTTGTCGCTTTGCGAGAAAATTAATCTGCTTTTGATTCTATTGTGAGTACTTCAAAGCCATCATATAAAAGAATGCACTTGAATTCTCTTCAATTTTCCTTGAAATCAAAGTTACTCGATATCCCATTCCAACACAGAAAGCAAACTTCGATCTATCAAAACTCACGATTTTCACAGGCCTTTCAAACAGACAACTCCAAGTGTCAATCATCCAAAGTAAGTAATCCTCAGCATCTCCGTCATTTTCATGGTCAATGCCGCGACTCTTCCATCCTACCATTTCAGCGAAGAACCTGCTTTGCCAACCTAAAGACCATCAATGCTGACTTTCGTGACAACAGGATTTTCTCATACACCATTCTTGTTGATCAAGATCGCGTGTTTACCATTGAGTGAGTCAAACCTTTGAACTGATATGAGGGTTACTTGCTTCCACATTCTGCACCACTCCCATTCTCCTCAAATTCCTTATTCCCATCACCATTACACCCTCTCCAGACTCCCAAAGTCATGCATGGCTCTCGATATTCTCTTCAAAAACATATCTTCACGTTTGCTGCCATGTCTTGTACCATCCTTTCTCCGATATCGCACAATCTGATTCTCTCATGAATTTCACCTACATGAGATCTTGATGATCGTGTTTCTCTCCTTCGTCTTTCTTCAGCTTGAAACACATGCCTCTATCACTTGTCCTTTTTCATCCAAGTCCTATCTTTCTCATTCAACATTCATGTATAGCGCACCAAGATCGAAGGTCGCATATCTAACTCTCGGAGTAGTTCTTTAATTTCTGCTTACCTATTTTCTTCCAAAACACTCGATTTGTAAGTGCCGTTGTATTCCTCTTCCATTCCGGCGAGTTCTTAAAGAATTGAACGTCTGCTTACTCCATAACAGTTTGAAACCAATACTTCGTACCTTCTCTGTCGTTCTTTATTGAATAAAGACCACTTGGGCGTTTGTATTTCGCCGACAACAAGCTTCTGCGGCCGTTCTCTGTCGCCAGGACCAACCTACCAAGTTTTCTCGATCTACGATCAGTAAGTGTTTGCTATTGCCTCTGCTTTCTCGAACGCCTCTTGGAATCGAATATTTACTTACATTGAAACAGATTTTCGGCGTCTTCGTCTCTGTGTCCTTTCCTTGGCACCAGAAGCAAACTTGCGAATATCTTCTGATTTTTGACCCGTAAGTGATCTCTATCCTGCACACAGCGGGAATTTCCAGACTGAACAATTACTTACAAAACAACAGGATATCAAATCTGAAATCCCTTGGTCGTTCCTATCGGCCCTCAGAACCCAGCATAGTCAATTCTCAATACCAAGTTAAGACACAAAATCGAATCCTCTTTCTCCATATACCACTGCCTGAAAACGTCATGTCTTCTACTCAGTAAGTACTTTCAGTTCAAAGCGGCGCCGATTTCGGCACTATGTTTGATAGATCACGCTAACTTGCTGAGTAGCAATAACATGAGCTGGTTTGCCAACATGCCACTCGCAAGTGTCGCCGATTTTAAAAACGCTGCGTGGCTTGATCTTGCGCTTACAAGAAAGTTCGTCGGTGAAAAGCCATTGATGCAACTTGACTGGCTCAACCTTGAAGTGAAGTCCGGTAGAAATAAGCCATTGGGCCAAAATTTCGCGGTAGTTCAAGCAGTAGCTCGCAAGCAAGTCGCCACAAAGTTTTCATTGTTTCCCGAACTTCCTACCGAATTGCAAAACAAAATTTGGGTTATGGCATCGTTGAAATGTTCTCGTTTTATCTCAATCGTCGAGGAAAATGTCGATGTTGCCACACAACCTGATGCTGACCAGTATAGAGTCATCGGAGCCACGCGCCCAAGATTTTTATACACTTGTAAAGCTGCTGTATCTGCCATGGTTGGCATCTATATACCAATGTTTCAGCTTGATGCGAGCAAGTACCATGGCACCAAAAAGGGCGTTATGGTGAATCCAGCCATCGACATCATCGATTTTGTATCTCTTCTCAACTTTCAGACGCCCCCACTAGATTATGTCGGGGCCCTTTTGAATCCTGGAGAGCTCTCTATGATTCGTAACATTTGCCTGCCTATGCAGGAATTCCACGACAATTTCCAGGCTGTTGCCCGAGTTATTCGCAACCTACCTTTACTTGAAACTGTGGTCGTTGAGACTGAGCAAGTCGATCCAACACTTTCCAACACTCTCCAAATTGAATTTGTGTTCGCAGACATTCATTACGCTAGACCTAACCGATCACCACGCACTGAGATGACCATAATGGTCATGTATGGCGGTCTCCATTTTATCGGTGCACAGGCTATCGGTATACTTTTCAATGACGTTACCACCTTGACTCATCAAGCTGGCATCCTTGAGTCGTTGGCGAAGGTAAATCTAATGATGCGACAGGAGTCGAACTTTCCAGACAAGGTCCTTGCCTCTTTCATCTATCGTAATCACTGATGAACTATCTTGAGTTCTTTCCGTTCTTTGCCAAGGTACATGATTCACTCTCTTGCCAAATATCTCGTGTCTTCACTAACATCTCGCAGATTTGAGATTTATTCGACATATTTGTGATTTCCCAAAATACAATGGCTAGGGTCTTGCTTTGTTACATTAACGACTAATGGCATGTATCACCGTTTGTGGTCGTAGACTGTTTTGAAATTGGTGCGTTGGATGCGATCGGTTTTTGCATCTTCTCTAAGACTATTTTGGTCAATGAGCTAGCAATACTATTAGCTGAAGACCTAAATAACCAATATATACTTGATTTCAAACATACGATTTCTTTCCCTAAAAGTGTGCTGTGATGATTGTATGATGGCAATCCCATAAATCTGAAGCAAATGCTTCCATAATTCCCCGAAGTCGTGGCAGATTTGGAAAGGATTTTGGCACCTCTTACATAGAAGTAGGAGGAGATAATGGATTTAAACTTGGTCTCATTAAATTAAACAACAGTAAGCTTAGTCTTTTTTGAAGAAAGCATTCTAAGTACGTGATCAGACTTAGACCAATGCTGACCGAGATGCTTCGCAAAATTTATGGCATCATGCCAATTTGCAATGAAAGATATTTCCCCAAGGACCGCAATTCAGCAAGGGGTTTGAGAAAATCTCAAGAGTCGTGGTGAAGGAAAGGCAACATAGCGCAATTATAAGTACCGAAGGGAAATCAGCAATGAAGGTGACCACTGGGTGTTTTGATTGCTGCGACTTGGAACTTTGAAGAGTGGTGTTGGCTAACTTGTACAAAAGATAGTTAGTTGAGATTTTTCCATGCTAATAAAAGTTCAGGGGAGAGAAGTTGTGTACCTTAATTTCGTGACAATTATGATTGATGGTAAGTTGGCATTCTCACAGTAGTAATGTCCAAAGTTTCAGGGTTTCAGTTCGAGATGTTTGCAAAAGTTCTGTAAGAATCTGACCTCAAGGTAGACTCAGATTGTTGTTAAGAATGTTAAGAAAGTATTGTTGAGATAAAGTCATCAAAGATGATGTATTCGAGTTATACCTGATAGAAGGTCGGCTAGACGACCATAGAGCTAGACGACCATAGACGGGGATGGCTGGCCAGCATTGGCCCGTGAACACTGGATCCCAAACAACAAGGAACAATAAGATACTGTCTATCCCATGATTTTATCTTTGACTTTGGTAGTCCATTGTATTGGATCCTTACTGTCAACTGTAATGAAATAGGAAATTTGAAGGTACAGAGGGACAACTTTAAGTCTTGGATCCAACAAAACTGCACAGATCTAGCAACCAATTTCAATCCCATACTCTGCTCTGTTGCTCCTAGCATCTAGGTACTTGTTCTCAGAATAAACAAGCTCGAGGGTGGTTGTAATGAGAAATTTGGTAGGAGATCATGAAGAGTAATCAGTCCTATTGGAAGCATTTCCGGAACTTGGTATTGAAACTGCTGCTCTAGTTCCAGAAAACATCAGCCTTAGCTTGAAACTGGAAGAAGTGTGAATCGAGCGGGGAAGAAGAAAGAGAGTAAAATTTAATCGATTATGGGTAGCAATCACAGTGCATGGAGGGGTAGCGGCTGTTCGTTGGCTGGTTTAGGAACGTTGTTCGGATTATCGGAGAAGATTTTAGGAAACTTCTGACTGAGAAGGGGTAGCCCTGAGAATCGTAGCATCAACGGTTCGATATACTTAATAGATTCCCTCTTGCCATCATCCTACCTGGGTTGGTTCGATTTGATCATGGCATTCCTGACCACAAAAACGATCCTAAACGCTCGCAAGATAAAGACCAGAAGGACTCCGTACTACCTATATACAGCTGCTATGGTAGTACGTCCACTAGTGTGTCGGACTTCTGGTATCTGGTATTTTGCGATGACTACAACATAATGACTGGGACTGGATCTATGAGGTTGAAGTCTGTTTGGTAGGTATACCGCCTTTTTCTGCCGATACCGCGCTGATTATGTAAGTCCGATGCATTCACAATTTCGAGCTGTTGACAAGTTGCAGACAAGACTGGATTTCACCGAAAGACAACGATGGTCTAAGTAACATACTGGCATGAGTTTGACGATGTTTAAAAGGATGATGAAATTTTTGTTACGATGAATCTTTTAAGATTATCACTAATATATGAGGCCCAAAGATCATTCTCCTCGGCTGGACGACCAAATGAATTCATATCCATCGCCAGGTACACCAGTCTGCAGTTCAATCCGTTATAGAATTCTACCTTTGCTTTTAAGGCTTTGTGTTACAATTTTAATTCGTTTTGCCGTTCACTCTGAAGAGCTTATTCCTACTCATATGAAAGCAATCTTGGCGCCATTCATGCTCTCAACGCCCATCTTGATCAATTGCAAGAACTCCAACTCTGGATCCCGATTTTCAATCACCTCAAACTTCTGCGTCAGCCTTACCAAGACATAGGCAGCCTGGGTCATAGCTTGTTGTTGCGCAGGGCATATTCTTGGACCTCCATAGAATGGAAGGAATTCCCAATTCATCTTACGCCCTACAAATCGATCAGGCCTAAAACTCTCCACATCATCACCCCAAATGTCGCTGTCGTGGTTCATGCACCATGTGCCAAGAACTACTGGTGATCCTTTGGGAACAAACACCGGTTGTGTTTGATCCTCGCCACCTCCTCTTGGTAAAGTAGTGTCGCGCACGGCAGCTCGCCATATTCTAGCTGCCGGACCAACAGTCCTAACGGTCTCTTGCAACACGTACCTGAAGTCTGCTAATTGTTTTAGCTTTTCAAATGACAACGGAGCATCGCCTAGCTCAAGCGAAATGCGACGAAGCTTTTTCCATTCGTTCGGATGGCGTGCAAGCTGGAAAAGGGCATTTGCTACTAGCCTGGACGTCACATCCCGTGCTGGCGCAAAGAAACCTAATACGTGATATCGAAGCGCAATGGGATCTCGGATCTGCTTAGCCATTTCGTGCAACAGGACATAGCGCTTTCTCTCAGAGGGTGCACTATCGGAATCCATTTTTGCAGTGTCTTCAAGAGCCAACTTTACTTGTTCATCTACAAATCGATGGACTGTCTTGTATGACTTCTTCCAATTCGGATCCTCAATAAGTCGTTGGTAGTGGAACTGGAACCATGGTGCGTCGCGCCGAGCACTGACCCCTTTCAAACCCGCAGTGAAAGCTTCAGTGAACTCAATACTCTCAGGCGAGCCTTGCAGTCCATTCAAAGAGCGTCCAAAGATAAAATCCATGGAGGTATCTAGGAACTACGCCACGAAAATGTCAGCGCCTGACTACACACTATCTCTGCGAGCCACATACTAATCTATGCAGCAATGGTTGAATATCAAATGTCTGTCCCTTTTCCGGAATCAACTCCAAAAACTTATCTACACAAGAAGCAAAAAAGTCGAGATCTGATAGTTCTGCCCTTGCAAAAATAGGTTTCGCTAAATCCCTCGAAAGGCTCCAAGCAGGTCCATCTGAGAAAATACTAGGTCCCAAAAGTGGCCATTGGGCTGTTTCTCTGTCTGCGTCCTTTCCAAAGTCTTCCGCAGCTAGTGCTGCTACATGTTGAACGTTCGTCGGATCACAAGTATTGAAGAGTATCGTACCACGCCAAACTTCCGAGAAAGTCTTCCCGTAAGTGTCGAATTGCGACTTATATAATCTGAAAAGGTGGCCCTCTTGAACTGCCTGAGCTCGCAGACGGGCTAGATCAGTGCCTAGGACATCCTGATGAGGATACTTTTTTGGTTCCGCGCAGTTTTGTCGCCGCTTCAGATTCCGAATATTCCTCGATCTTTTCAATTTTGGCCATAAAAAAATCAGGGCGATGACTACTATCACAATTATGTATCGTGCAAGTGGTTGTTTTCCACTATAAAATGACACATCCATAGCGCCCTATTTGAACGGGGATTTGATGGAACTTTCATTTCTCGTGAAGACTTACCATCTCTATATATTTGAGAGGATTACCATCCTTGAATATGAGAATTTTCACAGACACAAAATGCATATCCAGCGCGGAAGCCGAAAATGGAGGCCCAGCCAGGGACTATTTTGGCACTCTTCAATGTACAAGTTGGAATCAGCACTGAGCATGGTGAGAGTCTCATAATTGGTGGAAACTTTATGCAATACGTAATTACCTACTGTGCATGGAATGAAGGATCGTTGAGGAAATCCACTTCCCCCGAGTTAAATATCGCGATAGTCTACCGAGTCTACCTTCACTTCTATGTAGATGAAAACTTGCTTCATGCCTGCTGTTACGTTCAATGCGGATCCACTAGGGCAGTACAAGGGTCCAGAGATAAGCTCATGTTGGCCGAAGGCCGAAATATCAACGCTAAGTCTAATGTATCGCTAGCGCATTGCTTGTTTGTGGTAATCAGGCTTATTTGTTAAGTTTATCCTTGAGATAATGTCGTAATCTGCACGCTCGGATTCGTTTATTTTGTCACTTCCAGGGTGTTATATAGACCCACAGTCTATCTGAGTGGCAAAGTTGCCTTGGGGTAGCACCAGCCGTTTATTCCAATAGATCCTAGTCGCTGCACATCCTTGAAATTTATCCGGGTCATTCCTCCTCCCCTTGTTTACTAGTGACTACGAGGCAAAAAGCTTCTTGTTCTGTTCTTCGTCTATCTACATGTGTAGAACTTGGCAAAGAAATCAGTGTTTCGTTTGTCTGCATCATTTTCATGAGAACGTGAGAAAGTGGATGCCATTTTTATGTACGTGCGGTTTCATTGTATCATGTAGGTCACAAGTCAGCCCTTCGTTTTTACTGGCTCAATGTATTAATCTGGACCCTTCAGCTGCTACACCTATCTCATGTCCTTCCAGTGCCTCAGTAAATAGTATTACCAATGCTAGGCGACGACAAGACTCGGTATGACGGCGACTCTGCAGTCAATGCGTTTCCCGCAGATGCAAACCACGAAGACGCAACATTAAAAGACGGTCATTCACCTCGATCATCCTCAGATAGCACCTCTGATAGTTCTATAAGTGACAGTGACAATGAGCAAGTCCAGCTCATCGAGTCTGATACTAGTCATACCCGTGAAGGAGGGGTTGCCTCACGTGAGACAGTAGAGGAGCCTCCTAAAAATCAAAAGGAGAAGCCCGCATCATGGTTGTCTCTGCCCAGAAAAGATCAGCTTTTCATCTTAGCCCTCGCACGTATGGCCGAGCCTATAGTTCAATCCAGCATCAACTCATACATGTTCTTCATGCTGCGCTTTTTTGACCCATCACTTTCTGACTCGACTATTTCTTCACAGGCAGGTTACCTCGCCGGGGGTTTCACAGCCGCTCAGTGCCTCACAGCAATGGTATGGGGCCGCGTGGCTGATAATGCTTCAGTGGGCAGAAAGAATGTGCTCATTATTGGATTGTTAGGCACTTTTACATCCACCATTGGAGTTGGATTTTCTAGATCTTTTGCGCCTGCGTTATTTTTTCGTTGTCTTGGAGGGGCTTTGAACGGCAACGTTAGTATCATGCGAACGATGACTTCTGAAATTATCCGCGAAAAGAAGTACCAAACAAAGGCATTCTTGTTAATGCCAATTATGTTCAATGTTGGTATTCTCTTCGGCCCTTTGATTGGAGGTTGGCTGCAGGATCCAGTTCATACTTTTCCCGGTGCGTTTGGACCTGGAAGCAAACTTGGTGGCAAAGATGGCGTGGGATGGATGATGAAATACCCATACGCGTTACCAAATTTATTCAATGCTTTCCTCTTATTGCTTTCGCTGTTCCTTGTAATTCTAGGTCTCGAAGAGGTATTTAATAGCCCGCAAGGTCTAGCTTGATTCCACTGACATGCTTTCCAGACACATATTGATCGTCAGCATCTCTCTGATCCAGGCCTCAAGCTCGGTCGTTTTGTGGCTCGAATTATTTGCTGCAAATCGCGACAGACTAAATATGCTCGCTTAGGAGTGGAAGAAAACATGAACGATGTTGAAATGACAACACCTTCCGAACACAATACAGAACCCAAGAGCTCATACAAGCCACGTGCAAAGCTGCCGCTCCGACACCTACTACGTCGCAATGTTATCGCTACCATGGTTGCGCACGGGCTTATACAATGCCACACAAGCGCTTTTCAAAATCTTTGGTTCTTGTTTCTGTCTACGCCACGCTTTGATCCTGCCAGTTCAGAACCGCCGTTTACACCACACCCCCCTCTTTTCTTTACAGGAGGCTTGGGTCTCTCACCGGCTACTATTGGAACTGCAATTGGTATTATTGGCGCAATGGGTTTGATGTTGCAATTTGGTGTCTACTCTTGGGTAACGCACCGTTTGGGTGTATTGTACGCATACCGCTACTCTCTAGCACTATTTCCGTTCGCGTACGCCCTTGCACCATTCCTAGCACTGTTCCCCACAAAATCAGAATCGCCACACGCAGCAGACGGACCATTGATTTGGATAGGAATATGCAGTCTGCTATTCGTTATAGTCATAGGTCGTACCTTTGCACTCCCCAGCTCGCTCATCCTTATCAATAATTGTACACCACACCCGAGTGTTCTCAGTACTATCCATGGTATTGCGCAGAGTGTGAGTGCTGGGTCGAGAACATTGGGCCCGCTTGTTTTTAGTGCAGTGTATGGACAAGGATTGAAGAAAGGGATGGTGGGGATGGCGTGGTGGATTTTGATGATTGAGGCTTGCGTTGCTTTTGGGGCGAGTTGGGTGGTTTATGAAGGTAGTGGACATGAAGTGAAAATGGAAGGAGAATCTTGAGGATGATTTAGTTTGATATATATGGATGGTATTACGGGGTGTATACGCTACACGAGACAAATTTTGGGTATCGAAAATTGGAATATTTATAGAATCACTTACTAGCATATTCGATCTTTCAATTCCATTACTGCACACACACAAAAGTAACGCGAACTCTATTTACCATGAACCTCGTGAATAATCCCTTGAACGAGAAAAGAGACCCATAAAGTTCTAGGTAAGCCTAAGCTTCCCCTACGTTCCACAATTTTTATTTCACAGAGCTACAATTCCAGGGCAACCTCCATAAATCAAGCAAATTCTCCACTTTGCGGGGTGTGTCAGTCCACTACATATGTTTTGACAACAGAACTTCGAGTCAATCTGTGATAGGAAGGCGACGGAATCATGATTCTGCTAGTTTTTGTATTTACATGGAGATTTTGATGATCGATTTCGCTGGGTCGTGTAAACTACCAGATCTCCCTTGGTGTACCACATGCATCAAAAATTGTGAATCAACACTTGGTCAAAATTTGTGATATTTAAGAGGTAGAAAAAAACTCTTTTGGTTTTTCTAGTGCCTAACATGTCTAAAGCTCTAATGACTTGAAAATAATAGACGTGTAGAACAGCATAGATATCCAGAGTAGCTAACAAACTAACAAATAAGATTCATAAAGGAAAGCACCTCAATCTCTGTACCAATTGACGAAACAATGCCAATTTTCACCCCTAGCCCCCATATTTCTCATGAATTCGCATCACTTTGAATTGAAATTCCGCCTTGAAAGTTCAACCTCCTTATATATCATTTGGGTCAGATGTTCGATTTAGATGTTGTACGATGCGCTGGAACCTTCCAAATGTGCCATATCAGCATTGGCGCGTTCCGCGTCAGCAATAATGATCTCTCTATGTCTCTCGCTACGGGGTACGAGTTGGAACTTCAAATTGGCTGGGTAGCTGACTAGCCCGTAAGTGAAGTCGTTCTCGTCTGGGATGTATGGTTTGCCATTAATGGTAATGGGAAGAACGTCGTATGCCCAGATCAATCTGAGTTGATGAATTAGTGCTGAGTATTTTGGGGAAAGAGTGTGATGTTGATGGAAAGCTAAGAGGGTGGGTGTACTTACCGCGCAATAACGATATACATTGATTGAAGTGCGACGTGCATACCGGGACACATTCTTCGACCGAAGCCAAAACAACCAAAACGGTAGTTGAGGAGCCTGGGGTCATTTGTCTCCAAGAATCTTTCCGGTATGAATTTCTCGCCTTCGGGGAATACCGCTGGGTCTTTCATGATTTCGCTGATGCGAAGTATGTCAACGGATGAACTATCTGTTTTGTCATTTATGAGAACTTACGCGGCGTTGGCATAAACAGAGGCGTCTTTCGGAATTAACATGCCCTTATAGGTATAGTCCTGAGTTGAAGAGTGAGCAATGCCTGTTGGTGTTACGAGTCGCCATCTAAAATAATGTTAATAACTGATCCTACACATAAGATTACAGATACGTACCTCAATGTTTCCCTAATAAAAGCGCCCAAGTAGGGTAGTGATTGCTGATCTTCAAAAGTTGGCATGCGATCCTTTCCAACAACTGCATCTATTTCGGCCTTTGCCTTTTGGAGACATTCTGGGTAATGTAACATGGCCACTAAAAATACGAGGTGTTGTTAGACTATTCCATGCTAATTTATAAGGAAGGACGTACGAATTGCTATTTCGAATGCGGTGGTAGTCTATGTCAATATTAGCTTGTTGTACTATGAGAGAATGAATTAAACTTGCCGTGCCGATACCTGCGGCCCATGGTGCAGAAAGAGCATATGCTAGCTCGACGTCATCATTCATGTCTAACTCCTTTTGTTTTGTAATACCATAAGTGGATGTACATGGGACCGCGGTGCCATCTTGCATCTTTCTTTTCACCTCATTCATAGCTGTTGTGTATAATCTTGTATTGGTATCTCGATGCTTCTCAGGCTCATGTCGGAACCATTGCAAAGGACGCTTCGGAAGGTATTAGTGGTAGTTCTTACACAGGAAAGCATAGCTAACTTACTGGGAGCCATAGCAATATGGGCCACTAATCAATTTTTCAGTTAATTGTGTCGACCTTACATGCTGGGAATTTCACTTACGCTTTCAAGGGGAAATCGACCAGGTACTCTGTTAAAGATGAGTTAGCATAAGGAATCTGATTGATCTTTCTGACATAGACACTTACTTTGTACTAGGAAAAGTGTGAGTACATGATCAACACACCCCTACACACCGTGGTATGGATGTAACTTACCTTTCAATGTCTAGAGAGAAGGTTAGCATAAATCTCAAAGATAAAGAAGAGATTTCTACTTACATTCTTCTTCCTGATCATGTGCTACGCAAAGAGGGTCGTCAAGAGATGTAACGCGACGCCCATATCCCATATAAAACATCAAAGATGCTGTGTATCTATGGAACTCGAGTTATTTTCACGTATCTATTGTAGGAAATTCGAACATACCTTCGGAGAATTTTGTGTTGCTTAGAGGAGTCTTCATTCGTCAAGTAATCATGCATCAAGATTGCGGATTCATTGATTTGCATAGGTTTGACTTTGGGTGCTACCTGGGGACTGAAGTGCGAGTTTTGTAGCTTGGATGAAAATGTTAGTTAGATTCTGATTAGTAATAGTCTTGGAAAGGGGAGTCAAACTGTTCGCCAGTTTCGCCATTTGGGCCCGTAGGTCATTGAGAAGCCACGCAGTCTTGAGAAGAGAAATTCTCTGACTTTTGTTAGCATCCCAATCTACATAATCTTTCGTCCAGTGGGAGCCTTACCCCATTATAAAGTGTGGACGGCTGGAGAATGTTTCACCCGCTTTCTCGAGAATGTCTACAGCGGCTTCCATGGTTCCGAGCACTGGGGAACATTAGCACAACAGGAAGGGCTTTCTCTAATTAGTATATATAGCATACCGATGTTGAGCTGTTGTCCAGTATAGAAGGTTACTACATTGCCTATAAACTGTTGTCAACAAGGCAATCTTTAAGTCAAGAAAAGAACGCCGAACCATATTGTTCGTTCCATGATTTGAACATGTTCCAGCGATCATTGTCTAAGAGATTCGCATGATCACGACCTGGAGGTCCAGGTGGTAGTTGACCTGAATCATACTTTCTGTTCGATTTTATTAACTGAATAAATTGAACAACGGCTATAGCTAGAGCCAGAGGAATAACAAAAAGTAGTAAGTTTCCCATGATTTGTAGTAGGCACAATGTTGTTGCTTGGATCAATAGAAACCATTCAGATTGACAAAAGGAGTTCGCAGTCTTCTTATACTATTTCAGATGGGTGTGAGAGTATGACAGTGATGCTGATGCAAGTTTCTTGTTATCATAATAACCCTGGTCTTCTTGAAATTCCACCCGTGAATTGAAACTAGCGATACTGCATCACGGTACATCTGAGAAAAAGCTACACCTTTCGACTTCGCTGGCATAACATCTTGCGCGTATAACAGCGTCAGCGTGGACCTCTATGGTATCAACAAAACAGAGATTGCCAGACAAAGTCTCCTGGTCGTCAAGATCTGCAACCGACGTATGTGATGATTATGGCAGAGAAAGCTGTGGTCGAATTAGACTACCTTGAGATGACTTCATGGACATGCTACAGTCCATGCTACTTTCCTTCTATGGATTTGAAGTCAAGGTAGGAAATCCTTCAGAAATATGCCTTGTCGTTGTATCACTCGGGCCTCGGGTTCCGGCTCGACTTGATCGACTCAGATCCACTTGACCCGCGTTCTGAGATGAGCTGTAATCTAGATTAACTGCCTCCATTAATGACGAAAGATCTGTCGGACATGGAAACAATTAAGCAATTGAGGGGGCGAGGAGAGTCTGCATGTGCTTGAATGCACTGGGTTATCATTTCCTAGTATGGTTAGTGCTTATGGCATGTACCCCTGAACAAAACATCTCGCCAGGCCTATCCGTAATCGAGCGAGCATGGGTTAACTAGCGCGCGAGACTTAGTATGAGGGCTTGAGAATGAATGGATTAATGGATGTGCCATGATCTACACAGCGGTTGTAGTATTCCAAATTGCAATCAATGATAAAAGTTCTTGATTCCTTTATCTTTTTCCTATTTTTGAAATTTTGAACCCACTCAGATTTTTAAGCTGCGTTCAAAGTTTCAAAATATTTTGAACTTTGGAAACTCTCCGTTCCGATCTGCCAGTTCCGAGTGTCGAATTATCTACGTCTCCCATATTTTACTGTTTTTAGTTCAAGTCATAATTAATCTTTAAAGCTATTAAAGTATTATTTGCGTCGAAATTGTCTATCCTGGAATCACAGGGCAGAAAGCGACTTAACAATGGAAGTGACATGGCGGGCTCACCCCCTTCCAAAAGAAACCTCTCTTATTGCCATAGACGTGTTCACTAGAACGCAAGCTGATCAAGAGCTCCACGGCTTTCAAAATAGCCAGATTGATGACTCTTCTCTGGCATCAAAGTTCCTTGTTCAACATCTCGAAGGAAGCGATTGCGTTATCCGACTGCTGTTCCCAACGGTCGGTGGATACCTTGTCCAATCGGACTTTCTAGACAGACGGCTGGTCGATTGTAGCGACGTTGTCAAAATCCAGACATTTACATCACTTGATCAACATTTCGAGGGTATTAATATCGATGCCTGTAATGCGCTCGGTATTGCCGACATCTCGAAGAATGCGATTGGAGCAATAGTCATATCGTGTACAAGCAGAGCTTGGTCCGAGGCTAATACAGTAACGCTGGATGGAGAGCTGACGCGACGGTTTTCGTTCGCATGGCATTCTGCAAGACAAACCCCAAAGCGACGCTTGGCAGTGATTCGTCCTGGTCCTCCTTCACACCTACTCAGTCTCTCAAAGCTTGAGGATCTTGCGATAGCGGCTACGTCGCTCAATATTGTACTCATATTCTTTGATGATCTGTGTCATGGGTTGGCAGGTGCTGAATGGGCACATTTGCGCGAGGACTTCGTCCCTCTGGATATGACCCTAGACGAAGACATGCCTCAGCGAATCGCTTCGGCAGTCTCTGCCTACCCAAAACAAATCGATGGAATTATTGGCATGTACGAACCTCTCCTCACTATAGTTGCAGAGGCAGCTACTTTATTGGGATTCTCTACCTCATCACCAAAATCCGTGTCAATGGCACGTGATAAGTATCAAACCCGCCAATTCAACCAAAGTCTCTTCTGTTACAGAATACAAAACATTCCAGATCTTGAAGACGTTGTAGCTCGGTATAGAACTGTTGCACCCCTATCCCTCCCACTCATTGTAAAGCCAGCAAATGGGTGGGCTTCAGAGGGGGTCTGTAAAGTAACATGTGAGGACGAATTGAGAGACGCGGTGCTTCGATTATGGCAACCTCCCTTCTCGGAAAAGTACGGCCGGGATAGCCAAGGCTTAGTTTTAGTTGAGCCATACGTAGATGGTCCAGAAGTTGACGCTAATCTGGTACTTGTCGATGGAGAGATTGTCTTCTTTGAAGTTAACGATGACTTCCCAAGCTCCGGTGATAGCGATGGACAAGGATTTGTCGAAACCTTAAATGCCATGCCTTCTGCATTGCCGGAGAGTGAGATTGATGCTCTTCGACTCAGATCACATGCTATTGTATTAGCCATGGGTTTTAAAACGGGTATATTCCACGTGGAAGCCAGAGTTCATAATTCCACGTTCGCTTTTGCCACGGGAGACGATAATATCCTAGATCTTTCAGTAAAACCGGAGATCGCAGAGAACAAGAACAGAACTCCTACAGTATTTATACTAGAGGTCAACCCGCGACCACCAGGAATGCGTACACATACAGCCATTGCTCGAACGTATGGAGTGTCGTATCGAAGCATAGCGCTTCTCACTGCTCTTCAGGACCATGAGCGGTTGCGGGCCTTGGCAGTCCCTTTCGTTGGCGGCGCACAATACGATATGCAAGTCTTGTTTATAGCAGCACAGAAAGGTGGAGTTTATCAGTCCGGGGATGTTTGTTCAGCTATATTAGAGCGTGAGCCAGACTTAAGTAGCCATGTCAAGCAGTCCATGGGATTTCTTCACAATGGACAAGAAGTTCCTGACCCAAGAGGTCGAACAAGCGGAATTGCTTGCTTTTGGATTGCTTCTCGAGGGGGGAGACGAGAAGCTAGGTTGATTAGTGAAAAAATCCAAGAGTTAGTTTGGGAACTCACAGATGGGTTTTGAAATTATGGTTACTGTATAGGCCTCGACTAATGAAATGAACCCGGTATGCCAGTTACTGCAGTAGTGAAAAAAGAATTCCTTTTATTCTATGCTACAACCTGAACTTCCAGAGGCCATCAGGACCCTTTGTTGAATCTACTTGTATAACTACACCATAACCCACCTCCTTCATTCCTGCCACATAATTCTGTGTACACCAAGCCAGAAGTCCTTGGATATAATCTACCACAAACTCACCACCGAGGCATATAGGGGTTTCTTCCATTTTCCTCAGCGGGGAAGATTGGTAGTTGCCACCTGAGATACATATCTAAGATATCCAAAACATACACATTGCCATAACCGATGAATTGTAAATTGGATCCCCTAAGCAAGCATTGTCCACCGCCTCGAAAATATATTCGACGAATCTTATCTTATAATTTCCCGCGAGCCAACATCCGATTTCTGCTTGTCAACTACACTGATAACTAAGATTAAATGATGATTAATAGGGTCTGAACTCCTGTTGATTTTAAATGCACTTTAACTACCTAGCAATTTGAATGTTCGCCAAAGCTTTCTTCCTCATTATTTGCCAACCTACCTCTACAGTCACATGAATAATACCGTTTAAATCTAAGGCAAAAATATGACTCCTATCTTACAAATATCTTGAATTACCATCTCATACAGTGATTAAGATAGACATTTGAACTCCAAGATTCTTCCTACAATGACTATGTGAAAACAAAACAGTTTAAAGATTAATTGTGATACAAATCAACAGTTCACAACTTCTAAACTACCAACTAAAAAGACTATTATACTCGCGATAACCGGCACACACGATCCCACAGATAGAAAAATCAAACAATTATGCCGCCGAGTCTAGATGTGAACCAAAATGGCAACGACTAGAAAATGCAAGAATAAAACCAGGAATTTCCAGATGGCCCCCAAACAAGACCACAGCCGTAGACGTATTATGTGAGACTATTTACGACTAAAGAAGTCTACCCTCGCTATCAATAACAATCGCTTTGGCCGCGGTTCGTTCAACTCTGTGCTCATGAGCGGTTCCTGCAGCAAAGGCTTTTGCTTCAAGTGTATCTTGACGCAATTCGTTAGCGAAGTCTTCTCTGAATAAGCAAGAAGACAAAGAGAAAGATTGAAACTCACCGATATCCACAGGCAAGGTTACAACATGATTTTCGTGAAGCGCCACAAGCGCATCTTTCATCCAAATGCGACAAGTGAAAGCTTCATCGGTACGTAAAGACGCTGAGCCGTCTGCTGGTACAGCTCGCAAGAATTCGTCTATTTTATCCGAGGAGGATATAGGGCCTATCTTGAACACGAGAACGAGTGACATGGAGGAGAAAAGATAAGCGGTTGGTTTGAACTCTGGTTGCCAGCCGCCGGTTTTGTTGCTTGCATGATAGAAGACCCCTCTTGGGGCTGATGATGTTGTAATAAACAACCCCCAGTGCTAAAGACTGTTAGTAGAGCATTTGATAGAAAGCTATAAAGAGAGAGACTTACGAATGTTCCAGGTATACCTCTGCTGTTAAGGGTCATGTAAACAGTGTTGTTCTCGAGTTGTGACATTTTGACCGAAAATGCCGTGAATACGAAGTTGGGACTGAAAGATTGAGAATGCAGTTTAAAGTAAGAGTGTAGAGGATGTAGACAGACGAAGATGCTATAAGTTGCTGGATTGAGGGTCTTATGAAATTTGAAGAGCGACCAATTTCTAGAGAAAGACGAGAGACTAAATACACAAGATGATAAAACTTCAGCAATAATGATAGGCCATAATTACCTCGAAAAGAAACGCCAACAAGACTCATCCTGAACTTTGAAACGGCGTTGGAACAAAGACTTGGAGTGAATTGCTGTGAATCAATTGGTCTTTGCTAGGTGATGTGAGGATATGCACGAAGAAGATGTCTAGTCTAGGGAGCCGAAACACCAACAAGATCCATTATAGGTTGGAAATCAACTTGGAACAAGGATGTCGTATGTTGAGAATTAAGTGATCAAAACTGCCAGGTGAAGAGAAGGTGTATTCAACTTTCTGTAAGATAACGCCCATTTGAAAGCCCCCAAAAGCAAAGTTTGTAGGGCGATCCTGGGGCAGATATTTGGGGATAATCATCACTCAAAAGAACAAAGGCCAGAATGAGCCTTCGCTTTCCTTTGCTGTGAATCATTCATGAGAAGGAAGTTCGATCTTCAATGTCATGAAGTAAAAAAAGCCGTGATTGATGAAGTCTAATGTCCTGGGGACACAAAAGCTGCGATGATTCGCCTCATTAAAGGGATTTTAAGCAGTTTCAAGCCTCTACCGAGGCCGATTTGAATCATTTGGCCAAAACCCCAAAAATAGATTTGTGCTTAAGCTAAAATCGTATTTAGAATTTAGTAGTATGTATATAAGAAAAAAAGTATTCAATTCAGTATACAACTTTAAGAGATTTGATAAAAGAAAAAAAAAAGAAATATAATTATTAGTTAGAATTCAGAAAATCGACTGATGTAATTCTTTTTGAATTATCTCAATATCAAGTCTTTTATTCTTTGAATATAAATTCCAATTTTTGAGATAATTCAAAAAGAATTATATCAGTCGATTTTCTGAATTCTAACTAATAATAATATTTCTTTTTTTTTTCTTTTATCAAATCTCTTAAAGTTGTATATTGAATTGAAATTTTTTTTTAATATTTTAAAAACTATTTAATACTATATTAATTATACAATTTAATCGAAATAAACTTAAGCTTAAGCTCAAACTCGAATTTCAGATAAGGAATTCTTATTAAATATCACGGTGTAGATATATATAACCAATAAGTGGGTAAGCTAGGCCCGGTTGGGCTAGCTTATATATGAAAATTCTGTATATCTTTACTCTAGAAGATCCTATATCGTAGCTCTTCGAGCTACGTCTTAGTCTACACCCTATACCTACTATTATTAGTACTGTTTATTATATACTCCTAATCCCGCCTACCGCCCCGTAATATTAAACTTATTTTTCTTATTCTAGAGTAGTCTATATATTATAAGAAAACTCATTTTAAACTAGATTTTAAACATTAGTATATTTTTTATAGAAAATTTCGAAATGAAATCTGAAAAAAAAAAAAAACTGATCTTAAAAGCTATTTAATAATATAATTTATTTTATAAAAAATCTTTAATAACATTGAATTCTATATAATAGAATCTTTCTCTATAAGATTTCTATGAACATATTATATAGATTCTGAAATTTCTTTTTTTTATTAGATAGAAATCTATTTTTAGAGTTTATATCAAATGCGCGTTATCGATCTCAATATCTTTTAATACTATAATACTTACTACTATAAAGATTAACGACGTAAGTCTTATAAAATCTACTTTTAACTTACTATTTTTAGAGAATTTACTACTGCTTTAAGCGATTTGAATAGATATTAAGCTATTCCCCTTTAAAATTTAATATTTGAAGCTTTTACTCGCTTTTTATTAACTTTAATAACTTTCTACTATTTAAAGTATTTAAAGCTCGCTATAGATTCTAAATCGACTCTAGATAGGATTTCGAATCAGAATTCAATAAAAAAATCAGTGATTTTCAATAAAATATAAATAAAATATAATTTTACAATACTTTCATCATCTAAAGCTTATTATATAAATTTTCAACTAGTATAATAATATAATTAGTTCAAACGATAAAAAATGAGAAGAAGCTCGATTGCTTTTTAATGTATTTTATAATACAAATATCAGAGTGAATACTACAGCCCCCTCTAGCGTGGTTTTTAGCTTTCTAGCACCTTAAATAGCTTCAATCTTTTATAGGAAATACAATCAAACTTTTCACCCTCTTCAATACATATTTACCCTCTTTTCTGGTAATCTACGCAGGAACAAAATGGATATGGTTTCCAACCTCCTCTTGATTCCTTTCAAGTATAAAGCATGAAAAATACCCTTTAAATATTACGAATTGCTTCATTCTTTTCAATACAATATATTACAATTCTTTATAACATCTTTATTGATAATTTGTAGACTACAATACCTTTCGAAACCCCTCTTCTTTTCGATTTCTTCATTTTCAATCTCCGAATAGTATCACTTTTCGAAATCTCTCGAACCTCTTTCGAAATCACCTTTTTGAAAACCTTATTCGAATTACCTTATTCAAACCTTTTTCGAACCCTTATTCCTCCTTTCAACAAATACGATATTCGACCTTTCAATTATCCCCTAGACTGCCAACTAGCGGCGCCGTATGTGGTCCGTGCACCGAGCAAGAACATTAATAACCTAATAAATGATATTATATATAAAAACTTTAATATTATATTAGAAGATCAGAATTTATTGAAAAAATAATAATAAATATATCAATTATATCTCTATAGTTTTTTAACTGTCAAATAATGATTTTAAGATTTTATAAATATTATTATATTTTACCTTTAAAAACAAGAAATATTTATAGACGATTTTTATACGATTTATACCTAAAAATATATATCAAATCAAAAATTTAATATTTATTAAAAAAAGAAAGAATAAAGAAAAGATTATATAAAGATTTTAAAATTATATTATTTGTTTTCATTAAAACTATAAGTGTTGAATCATTATTATAAAAAAACGTATCAAAATGATAAGAATTCTCAAAATCCTGATGTTCTGATTGGTCAGTAAGTGCATATTAAGCGACGGCGCCGCTAGTTGGCAGTCTAGGGGATACTACAAGTCAACCTACAATCACTCTCTACGATACCATTTTAAGTTTACGTTTTTGAGGACATTATTAGAGCTATTAGTAGGCTCTAGAGCACTGTGTAGTAATTCAATATCAGCTGGGGACTCTATCATATGGTATAGAATATCCAAGTCATTTTAGTGTTTTTTTTCGAATTCGAATAAATTACCTTTTCTATGTCTACCCTTAAGTTCTTTGATTAGTACGTCACATATAGTTCAGTTTCGATAGGGAATATCGTATACAATTGTATAATACAATAGGAAAAACAATTCAGGTATTATATATTAGAAGATTAAACAATAAATAGTATATTATGGTTTTTAGTTTGAAAGCTAGTTTTATTTTTCGAGACAGTTAGCCTTAAATTTCAGGGGATAACTGGATTTTCTATACGGGAGTGTATAGTCTTTTTTTGGGATAGACTAAATACCAGAGTGAATATTATAGCCCCCTCTAGTATGGTTTTTAGTTTTCTAGTACCTTAAATAGCTTCAATCTTTTATAGGAAATACAATCAAGCTTTTTACCCTCTTCAATACGTATTTACCCTCTTTTCTAATACTTACGCCGTCAACCTCCGTATTACAAGGTTGTATATAAGGGAATCCAATAGGATGAGTACGTCTAGTTGTAGTAGATAAACCCGATAATTTGCCGCTAATGATTGTAGCTATACTTGTAATTATTGGTGAATAACAATCACATATGATGTACTCTTGGGATATGGCTTGCATAAATCAGGATGATTAGCCGCCCATGAGGCTAGATGTACATACTTGCGGGCTACTATGATAGGATACTTGTCCCGGAACTATGGGCTATGTGTGGTGGTCGGGTTGAATGTGCTCATCATGTGACCTGGAGGTAGATTGAGTCACATGATAGTCCCCTCTAGGACTAGCGCTGATACTTGGCCAAAGTAGGTATTTCTCCTCCTTCTCCCAAGTCAACCTCCTGGCAAAACTTCAACTCCCTCCGTTCCATAATTCAAATCTTACTTTATTCTAGAACTTGTGTCGCTTTGCCTTGGTTTGTAGCTTTGAGGGCTATGGAAAGCGATAAAACCCGTGCCCTCAGAATCGTTCGAGATGCAGAACTTGTACACCCCGCTCTTCCTATCGTTGAAGCATTCCTCAATGACGCGGTAGACGGCAACCGGGCTGCAAGATATCTGCTAGAAACATATGCCGACGATGAAAATGATGTAGACTTCTCACGATTTCTAAGGGACTGGAAAGATCTGGTGGAACTTTGTAAGTTTCTATTTCTAGAACCAAATGAGCTTATCGCTAAATGACGCCAAGTCTATGCGGAACACCCTCATTCCCAACAACTGAGTTGGATTTTGCGGAAAAAAATTGTGCGACGAGATCAATGCCGATGTTGTGTGACTGGAGTTCGATGTCGGTTTTGGGGCAGGTGGAATGTATTTCCCATTATCCCTTCAACAGCATTTAGCATACAAGAAGTAAGCGCAAGTATGATATTTCCTGACAATTCCTAATTTTGTTTGTAGCAAAGACTATATGATATGCTTGGCGCATTCACTACATCTTCCCACCAAGCCCTACTCAAAGATAAAACTTTAGAGAGTCAGACTCGAAATCATTGGACTTTGAGCAAGGATGCGGCAATAGCCTTTTCCCGAGGGATGATTCGGCTCGAAAAGCTAAAAGAAACAAAGGTAAAAATGTCTTTCCCTTCGTAATTCTATTTTGACTAATCTTGTACAGTATAACATCATATTCAGCGACATTGGAAAAGCTCCGGCGATTCAAACGCCTTCCCGGCTGTTCAATTGGCAATGTGATCTACATGATCACTCGAACTCTGGGATTGACAGTCCTCATCCGGAACTTCTTGAGATACATTCTCGGTTTTCTAGAGCTCTAAACTGGACTGATGTCGCTAGGAAGATAGATAGTCGATCATGTATACGCCGAAGTCGAAACAAAGCCAACAACTCTTTTAAGCAATTTATTACTAATGCTTTGCTTCAAATATGGTCCAAGTTTCCTGAAAGTATCCGATTTTCAACATACAAAGTCTTGAAAAGTGCGGGATTATATCTCTATGGGGACAACTTCGGTATCGGAGTCCAGAGATTGCCATTCGGAATGTACCTCAAATATGGACCAGAAGTCTATGCAGACCGACATGCTGCAGAATTCAATGCTCTTAAAGTTGTTCGAAGCCAAACTTCCATCCCTGTGCCGATCCCTATAGATTTCCTAGCCTCACCTACTGAGTCTTTGCTTGTGACATCCCGCGTCGAAGGCGAATCGGCAGGTCTCGCTATAGACGAATGCAGTGATGAGGAGATGCATCAAATGAGTCAGGATTTGCGTTTCTACGTCGCCGAATTACATACCATCGAACAGAGCAAAGACTCCAAATACGCCATCACCAACACATCCGGGGGCCCTTGTTTGGATTACCGTATCGACAGCGAGGTAGTAGGACCTTTCCACAACGAGAAGGAATTTAGCGAGTCATTACAGTTGGGGATACTTCCTGGATTAATGCATCGTACTGATCATAAGATACATTTTACACACTCCGATTTGAATATGAGGAATATTTTGGTCAAGGATGGGAAGATTTCAGGGATTGTTGATTGGGAGAATGCGGGATGGTATCCTGAGTATTGGGAGTATACTAAATGCCATTTTGGCTGCAGGTTAGACAAACGATGGTTGAAGATGATCGATGCTACATTTGAGCATAGGTACCAAGAGGAACTGGAAATTGAAAGGCAGTACTGGAACTATCATACCGGCTGGTAGATTGGATAAAGCTTGGGGATGTATTGTGCAGAAAATTCATGGAGATGCAATCGAGTCGATGGGGGAAGAAGAAGATCTGCTAGCGCTGTTTGACTAGGTAGGTAGGTAGTTACTGCATCAGGCTTCCACGTGATCTACCGACTTTTCTACTGAGGAGATGGTTTATGAACATCACCGAATCGGTTATTAGTACTCAGTACGCCTTACCAGTTCGATATCCAAGAACAAGATCTTCAAATCAGTTCTCCATCATGCTGAAGTGGATCTAAGGAACAGGATACACGTGTTAATCTACCATAATTTCCCTTATCTAACAAATGACCACCAATACCTCTGTAATGCAGGAGGTCTTCTGAAAAAGATCCAACTAGCAAATCCGGGGAATTCATCCTTCCTTTTCTATGATGAAAATCAAATCCTTCTCGGAAATCATACTAGGTAATTTCGTATAATTTCGTATAATTTCGTGCCACGGACGGTGCCAGCTCGTATAAGCACCCTGTCTCTCTGCTGACTCATCTCTAATCTATCCATCCATCCATCCATTTATCCATGCAGTCTCCAAAAAAAATGAACATGGACCCCGAAAAGCCTCCCAAAAATCAAGCAACGGGTTACGGGAAGAACGGGCTTGGCTCCTTGGCTCTTGGCTTCAAACTGAGACAAAAGAATAAGCTTCGTCAAGACTTTGATCCAAGGGATTTCCAAGCCGGGAGTTTCGCTTTATGACGCTTTTTTCTTTCTATATTTTGATATCTTTGGAGGATTTGATAACTGTCGTGCGCGGAGACTAATCAATCGATTGATGGGAATAACTTCATATACAACCTTGGAACAATACATTTGCCGGAATGCCACATGCCGCAAAGTATATTGCTATCGCTCGAACCAAAGTGGCTGAAGAGATGACACTGCACGAGAAAGACAATCAGGATAAGCCTGTTACTGTCCCCTGTTCACAATGCCGAAACCCCGGAAACACCAAGCTCTACCTATTAACACGAATCCCCTTTGAATTAAATGTGGAAAGTTACATATTTCATTAATTTATATTGGGGCTTTGTGACTTTGAGTCTCTCGAGTCTCTACGCGTATTCCGTTTCTAGAAGTCTGATACGATTGCCCTTCCCTTGCTTGCTCCATACAGAGTACGTGCGGGACTCCAGAGGGAGAAGCAAACACAGCCTTCAATTACGAGCTGCAGGTGAGCAACACCGAGGTCTGATTGTGGCGGATGGATGGAGCGAGTGGCTACACCTGCAGACTGCAGTCATGAATAATGAAAATTGGGTTCAAGATTGAGCCAACAAGGGATATCAGGGGGTCGTCCCATATGACAATCCAGCCCTGTACTTACTGAATGGGGAAATGGTACATTGATTCTCCTCCAGGTGGGCAATGTGCATGCATGGTGTGGTGTGTAAAAATAAATCTGTGAATAAAATGCAATTTACGAGTAGTGAATGACCCAATGTATGTGCTTGTTTTACCTTTTAAACCCCTTCCTTCCTTCCTTCTTTCTGTTTTATATCTCTCTCTTCTTATCAACAATCTCTACTTTCGATATATAACTCATACAACTTTCAAAGAACCAATTCACCTCAATCCATCTCAACCACCAATCTACAATCCAATCAGAATGCCTTTCGAAGCTCAACAACCCCAAGCTCAACAAATGGAGATGTCCACTACCAATGGTCCCATCACCGAACAACCTGTTTGTCTCTCCCTTCTCAATCATACCCCGATCTCCCATTTTCAATCCCGATATCTATCTTGCAAATACAAGTCTCGATGAGATAAAAGGAATCGAAATATCATCACAAAACATCAACTAACATTATCACAGCGTCAAAATGAGGGAATGAGCGCCGATGTATCTATGCGTGGTGGTGGTGGATGCTGGTACGTTTTCTACTTTCCTTTCCTCTCTCTTACAATCACATTCTTCCTGTCTGTCGAAAAGAACATCAAATTAACCATTTTCCCCAAACAGCGAAGCATGTCTCGCCTGCTGTCTTCTCGAGGAAGTCTGCGCGTGTTTGATTTGCGAGGAGTGCTGTTGTTAAACGCTTTTTCGTGGGATATACGCACAGAGAGAGATGCATACATGCATATATATCTAAGATATAGGTCGCATACCCACAATGCGATAGAAAGGAGATGATTGATACCCGGTGGTTTGCGGATGTGGATGTGGATGTATATTGCGATGGAGGTATAGATGTGGATGCGAAAGTAGAGGAGGTGGGATGGGGAAACTATGAATTTCAATGTCTTTACGCGGATGATGAATTTGGGTGGATGGATGCAATTTGTATTATGAAGGATGGATGGATGGATCTTGCTACCTAGGTATGCTGGATGAAGAGCAAGCGAAAATGTATTTTCCGAGTATCCAAATATTATATCCAGGTTTTTTATCTTTATGATTCTTATATTTTTACTTCTTCATTCCATTTCGTGCATTTCTTTGCTTGCTTGCGTGCTTGCTTGCGTGCTTGCTTACCTACTCACGTACTTACATCTCCCTCCCAATTTTCTACACGACAATACTTGATATGAGCGATTTTTCACTCCATTCATTTCCTTTCAGTCTCTCACCGCTCGTACCTAACTAATAAGTACCTAGGTATGAGGGTATGTACCTAGTGAGAAATAAAGTTGCACACAAGTCGAGGCATGAAAGAGCACAGACATCACGCAGCGTGTGTGCGTGCGTCAGCTTAGCCTCGGAGTGAGATTTAGAGTTTTATGGATCACTAGGTGGAAGGCGTAGCTGGATTCAGCTGCTGAATAGAATGAAGTAGGCTCGAGGTGGGCCTATGACGACAAACATTGTTTGTGTCTTATGGGTTGGAAAATGGGGTGATGAGTTTTTGGATTTTGTGTCTGGTTTATGAGTTTGTCTTGGTATATGGGTGTGAACTTGTGAGGCTTTTGGGTTGGTGGCGAGTTATTCCAGAATAGGTTGTGCAGAGTGAAGACTTAATTGATGATGCTTGTTTGTGTGCAGGTTATGCGATGGGCTGGGTTGGTTGATTCGTGTGAAGACGTTGGGTTTTGGTGTTATTTGAGTGGGAATTGTGAGGTAGGTATTCGTGGGTAGTGTTCGAGGAAGGGTTATTGTGTTGTGTGTATTGAATTGTATGTTCTCGATATAATGGGGGAGTAAGCGGATGGAGAACCGCCTTAATCGCTCGGGTAAGTTGCTGCTTTTCAGGGGGCTTTTGAATTTTGTGTGTTTTGTCAAGCATAGCTGTTTGGCTGGCATCTGGAGTCGAATATGAGTTAGTGTTAGGACTTAAGACGTGGAGCATCTGCTGGCTTCCCCTTCATTCTGTATCTGAACAGAGGGGGTAAGAATGCGTACATGAGAGTACTCGGAAATGTGGTTCGAGTAACTCGGCTTCATCGATTCTGGCGTACAAGGGCCAATTAGAGTCCGGGGATATCTTCGAGGTAGTTTTCTGTATGCAAATGGCACCATCTTTCTATGGCGTCTTGTATTCCCTATAAACTGGGGGTTTGAAAGTTTTTGAGATGGGGAATTGGGTTCGGAATCGGTATTCAGGAAAGATTGATCGATATAAGGAAGAAGTTCCGATGGGCTTGCTAACACCATTCAGGAAAGCATGGTAACCATTTAGATTAGATGTCTTTGAATCAAAACTTTCCCGTGAGGGAGGAAGGGGGCAGGTTGATAGTTGATCAGTCGAGCTCTGACTGAACTTGGGGGACTAATGCTAAGATGACCTGATTGTGCTATTTTTGATTCGAGGATGACCGAATTCGGGAAGAAAATGTCACTTCCACATCGTGCTTCCTAAACCTATATTTCTATATAGCGTATATAACTAGTGTCTCTACGTATCTCTATATATCTCTTCCAAACCTAATCTCTTCTTTATGAATTTAGTTATCTGTTATTAACATCATCCATGCTCAACAACGTTGACGTCTGCAACAAAATTCACCAAATTCGCAGCATCTGGACTCACTCTGTACAATTTGTTTGTGCAATTTATTACCGTCTATATGTGCCGGATGTTTCATGAAAACCCGAACATTGCAGATTCTGAACTGAAATGACATACCGCGGATGTATGTGATACTAAGAAATGCTATATTAATCCTTAACCCCGCTTTTCCAATACAATCCCATCGCCACTCACTCCCCACACACTTCGCTTCCCCTTTTCATTGGGCTCCCCATATATCTTCATTACAATTGGCCATTATTAAAAAAGATCGAATTAATCCTTGAGATAATGAACATGTTAGCAGGCGATTGTGAAGATTACCTAAGGTTAATGACGTTGAATATTGCATAATCACGGGCTTTGAGATGGTTTTCGAGATTACGGTGGATCGCAATGAGAGTGAATTAGAAATATAATTACAATACACAAAGGGCATGGATACAGAGTTTGTATATGAGAGATGAGATAGATATATGATATTATACTGGTATGGAATGATATGATTGTGGAAAATAAACGATGGCTGTAGAATGATTATTAAATGGAATGGAAAAGTATGAGGAATTGAAGGGTGGAACAATGTTTTGGTAATGAATGATTTCCTCTATTTCTTCTTTATATAAAATTTCCCAGTCTTTTGTCTCTTATCTTCTCTCTCTCTTCATATTATTATCCCTTTCTCCCCCCTTCGTCATCCCCTCGGAAATCGCTCGTTACAGCAATATCTTAGTTGACCGACAATATTCCTTTTGACTTTCGGCATGAAATCTGCCAACCGGAATTTAGATCGTGGCAGTTCGTGGTTATTACCCAACTGCTACCCAAGGTGGTGTGTCCGGTTATACAATAGATGCCCAACATGCAGTGAAATCATGCTAATGGTTTCTATGAAGTCTTTATAGGTTTTACGACAACGTTACTGTTGACGGCAGATATGGTATCACTTACCAGCTTTCAGCTGAGAAGAGAGTTCATGGCCTGAAAGTCCGTGTATGTCGTGTCGTGTCGTGTATTTCGCCTGTATCTTTTGTTCCGCTGGAAATTCAATGAACGTACGATGTGTATTTGGCAGTTGTCAAGTTGGGTGTTTGGTTCATGTATTGGATGCACAATGACGAAGTTAGTGGGGGGTTTCATGTGAGGATTTCAATTTTCTAGAGAAGGTCAGACAAGCTTGCCGTGTGGGGGGGGTTTATTCTGTAGTACTAGTACTAAATAGTATCACCTCAATTCGTTTTGACAACTATATATTCTCCTCATTTGTCAGTTGTCAGTTGGCCTTTCTACATTCAGACACCCAGAGCTCGTATACATCGTAAACTTCCATTTCGGTCCTTGCACCTTCCACCTTCGCTGCCTCGGACATATATCATTTCCATTATAATCCTCCATCCTCGATCTCCCATCTTCTTCGAGTTATCACATACAAAGAAGTCTTCATTACTACCTAAGATCAAATACAAATTATCCGGGAACATCATGCAGGAGAACATCTCCACGGCTCCTCGCCGAGGACGTCCAATCAGCGTCCGTGAATATCTCCAAACAAAACAAGGCCAACGCTGGTTGACAGACATGAAAAGCCATAAGACCAGACCCAATGGTAGTAAGACCCTTAGCCCCCTTGGGGACGTCGGAACAGCATGGGATGTTATCGCATGGGTCCAGAGAATTGCTGGAGGTGGCAGCAAGAATGTCACTCCCAAGGATCTCGCTAAACTAGGCGACGAAATTATTCGTGCAATCAGAGAATCGCAGGAACAAATGCAGGGTCAGATTGGCGAGATTGGAGATACGGTCCGTAAATTGCCTGGTCAAATTGACGACTTGGAAAATCTGGTCAAAGAAATGAGAGAAGCTGAAGAGTCGGGAGATAAAAAACGTCGTATGTTGAAAATATATTACCTCTCAATGCAAAATCACTAATCCTTAAGTTTCCAGATGAGCAGATTGTGCGACAACTCGATATTATTCTTGATGAACAGAGAAGGAACACGCTTCGAATCATCGACAACATCAATGTCGTTGGAGAGAATGTGACGAGAATGTGGAACGATATGAATGAACAGTTTGGAGAGATGATGAAACAGCTTTCACAAATTACCAACATGCTCGTCGATATTGCTGGACGTATGACAGTTTCCTTTCATAGGTCATTTTATAAGACATGATCATGTTTCTTATACCCTCATATCTCTTCAATACTCCTTTCATTTGGCAGAGTGGCCACAAGCAACCTTTTCAATGTTGATTCAATGGGCTAATGTTTTTTACCTGCTCAATAGAAATAAGTGAGATCCTCGCGGCAGTCCAGAAAGCAGTTGAAGGTATTGAGGAGATCAAGAAAAAGGTTGACTTTACCACAATTATTGGCATGATCAACGAACACCAATCCCGTATCATGTATGCCATTGATATCGCGTACGACATTACCATCACTTCAATTGAAAACCCTTCCTCTTCCTCTGACGAGGATCCCGAAGAACCATCGACCATACAAGTCAATACGGAGGAGCTCCTCGAATGGGCTCGAAAGACGGTTGATCTAACAAATGGACTTCCCTACCACCTCTATTGCTTCCATCGCGTGTTGATTGGAGATAATCTTTTGGGGAAATCATTCTTTGCGAGCTATTTCGAGCTTCTGATACCATATAGAGAAACTTTCGGCCCTACTGTAGCACGAATTGTTACTAATCTTGTTGCTTTCCAAGCGGTGAGTATAGTCGATTCTATGCTTTTGCATTTCGCAACTTTAAAACCGCAATCCGGTGTTCTTTTTTTCTGCATCTTCCTTTCATCCTGATACCAATCGAACCCTCTATTTCACCTTGAATGAGTTCCTTTGACAAGTAATGACTGACTTCCTGGTGATTTAGCAAGGCTTTGGTGTCCTTGACAAGGCCCGACAGATTCTGGAGCTACCCGCCCTGGACTACAGCCAGACAATCAAATCACGAGTGGAGGAGCAGCTTCGTAGTGCAACTTTTCAGCTCGAAGAAAAATTTCAATTCGACGAGCTGGACCTCATTCGTTATGACGGACGTCCCGAGATTGTTTCAATCTCGACCGAATATAAAGTACATTCCAATGAAGAATGCCTATATTGGACGGTCACAGACAATTCAAGTGCGCTTTCCACCGTGGATCTCTCGACCAATACAACTTGCGAATTCGGCCTCATAGTACCTGGTCAACCGAAACTCAGAGGTATCTTAAGCGTAAAATTATATATGCCCGGAAATGAAGACCCTTTCGATTTCGGATGGGTTTGGCCATTTCAACGTGACGGTGATACTTCTTCTTTTGACGCTAAGGCGATCAAAATTGATCCCCAATTTGCTATAGTCGGGCTTCAATTTGTCCCAGATAAGGGTGAGCAGATAGGTAGAATAGTACCAATGGTCTCGCCTGTTGATGAAGTCACAGGCCGTACGAGGTGGCATGGAGTGGGAGGAGAAATATATCTAGCTCAGCAGAGTCCCGAACCAGCAACAATGCAAGGTCATGCACTTGGTGATGGTCTTGGGATTTCAGGGTACATTATGGATGAGGCTTGGAGGGGAGGGCGAATGACAGGCTTGAAGATGGTTCATTGGAAGAATGATGGTGGTGAGACAGAACGCGTGTTTTTATCGTCTTTGAGCACGAGGTGGGAGGGGGATACGTGGCTGCCATCGCAAATTGTGCCAAGTGCGGAGGTTACTTACACTCCGGTTACTCTTCCCATTCCAAGAGAGCAGCGTTTGACCGCGAAGTTTGTGCAGCGGACAATTTCTGCGCAGCCTACCGCGAAGGTATACGACTAGGATGTGAGGTTATAATGGTAGAGTTCGGGTTCTTGGCCAGTATGGTTTCTGTTCTATTCGCTTTCGAAACAAATTGATGTGTTTTCCTTTGAAGAAGTTCTGCAGTATATCTATAGCACTAAATGAAAGCCTCCATTCTTTATTTCTGTATTTGATACCACCTGTCTGGCCGTTTACTATCACCTGGACTCAAACTTCTCGAGGAGAAATTTTGTGCGGTCGAATCCTTCTGCGATTGATATTCATAGGTAAGCTCTAATTTGATTAACAGGGAGTGGAAAAAGATTCTAAATGAAATAGCGATCTTTGATGTATGAATATTTTCATAAACTCATGATCCTGATCTACCAAGCTCGACTCAATATCTGTCTTCTCTTGTCAACAAAGGTTGAGTAGATTAGTATTATCATCTTATGTAGTGTCCAGTTTCTGCCTAAGAGTATATAAGATGACGCCTGGATTTTAATTATTCAATCCACACATGACCCAGACAAGTTATAGAATATGAATCGCAAAATAGCAAAATTCGGATATATCAAACTATGGGGGAGTTCTAATTGAGAATATTGAAAATGATTACTTGATGGGGCAACCGAGCCCCTTTCTTCTAACTATTGGAAAGAATAGAGCGGAATTGTGAAATTTCATAATAAGTCTACTAAATCACTTATTAACATCTTACTAATGAAGAGATATCTTGATAAATAATGTATTTACATATATATAATATGGTTTTATATTATAAAATTATATTATTATATAGTTATATAACAATTGCGGTAACTGGATTCGTTTTCTTCTGTCAATATTTCGGTTCGGGTTTAGGTATGAAGAATACTTGAGCTCGTGGATGCATTGACTGTTAATATAGAATTTTGATCCATCCGCGTGCTGCGGCTGATAGCGGCATCATAATGAAACATCTGGGTATATGTGAGAGACTAATGTGGATGTTTGCGATTAGAGGCCACTACATACTTCCTATATCACTACTGCGTCGACGCGACACCAACGAAATGGCTATACAAGGGAAGCCACATTATAAGTCATGGCAGTTGTCGCTATTTGAAATTTATTGATCCGTCCTTGCCACAATTGCTATTCGGGGATATACAATAAAACGCTGTATCTATGAAAAGACGTGAGATATGGTTGATCACCACGCTACTAGTCCTCAAGCTTCTGGATACATTTATTGGCTCGTGTACGCGGGATCTAGTTGATAATCGGAGGCACAGTACCCTGAGTGTGATGTGAGATGAGATTGGTTGTACATGCTACGAATAACCTCGTTGGAGATGATCGACGCGCACATGCAGTAAAAATAAATCATAACACTTAAATGGATTGACACTGTTACTGCCCTACCGCCCAACTTTCGATCGCTTCTGTGCTCATTGTTTATTCTCCAGCTATACCCACCAGCCGCCCAAAGCTTTTCGTAATTCAGCCGTAGCAGACTTTACGTCTATAAAGATGACTTCGTGGGATACTTGACTGGTAGTAGGCACTCCTCTGATCAAGTGTTGTGGTTTAATCATTCGCTTTTCTAGCCTAAGCAGTGGAAATACCTGCTTGCGTAGCTGTGGTGTTGCTATGTTGTGTTCCTTCCGTTCGCGTAGTCCCCGGTTAGTATTTGCTTGTATGATAGGGTCTAGATAGTGTCCTTTGAACGATTAGCTTGCATTTCATTGGGAATGAAGCATTATTCCTACAGCTTACTGGTAATGAAGTGTGTTGGTAGGTGTAAAACCCATGCTTTCATTGTAGACTGGAGATCATAGTCTTTGATGTTTGGCCAACGCTTCTGCGTGAGATCATTAGCACAGTTGACGTGAACATCAGCGCTTGTATCAAAACTTATGCAATGTAGCTGTCGGCTTGGGACGCAAAGCCACGGAGACATGCTACTCGCGCACTGATTTTTGGTGGCGATGTGATATCCAGATCGACTGCTGTCTTATTCCCGCGTACATCAATAAATTAGACTAGTGGATATTGTCGAAGATGCAGAGGGGTTGTGAAGTGCAAACTTGTGGATATCTAGAACCACTGCTTGTATATCAGAGGTGTCAAAGCAATAGCTTCAATTTCTGCTGCAGAGCCGTTATTACCGACCTCAAAGCTGTGAATTCTCGGAATTTCAAAGTGCCATTTTCTGGTGCCCCACATCTAACTATATTCGAAGATATGGTCGGCATTGGGACCTCGCCGTTAGGTGAACTAACTATGGTCGGTGAAACTCGTCTTGCGCTGGTGCATTTGTTGACGGAGAATTTGGCAGGAAGACATCTGGCAGCCCTTTTGTAATAATGCGCGGTATTCGCAATGTCTGCTGAGGTAGTTATGACTTGTGTCAGCGGCTATCAACTACATCGTAATCCAGCCTCGTGAAATCCGATCTTCGAACCAGTTGAGCCTGCTGGCATGGTAGATACCATAATTCTGTTCGATGTGCATCAAATATATACCAATATATCTAGTTCTCTGTTTATTTATTCTGCCTTCTAATAGAACAGCAGAAGCCAGGTGGATTTTTCGATGGGTCACCAGGGCAGTCGAGCTGCAGGTACGATGATCCCCAATTCAAGGGTTTGTGTCTTGCCGAGACCAAAACGCTCACTAACTTAAGCTTCTCAAAGACTTCAGGTCTAGGTGACTGCTGTTTTGAAGCAATGACTTTGTAGTGATTCGGTATATGAGAAGTAGATGGCGTTGACTGATTGCTTGGGATTCCAGCGTCGGACAAAGTTTCGATTTCAGGACGTCTATAATTTCGGAGATTGAGACTTAGATATAGGGTTTCTATTATCAATGCTTATTGTTAGCTTCAATTTGTTCCTGCAAATGCTTGGGAGTTTATTGCTGCTGCTGCGAAGAAAGTCTCTGCGAATAGCACGGAGTGCGACTTACTGCTTATTTTATGAGATTCAATTCATCGGCGCTCGTAGATTCCAGGATCAAGAGAACATCTTCTACTTGCGCTAGAAGAGTGTTTAGTAGAAAGTAATAAAGAACTATTGATAAGCACAAAGGGGAATCTGCCCCAGGACCAATGGTCATTCTCAAGAGCAATGAAGACAATTCTAAACAACCAACAACAAACCAGATTGGAGAGATGACAGTATTTAGAGTAATACACGAGAAGAGGAATATCAGTCAACTTGCAGAAGCAAGTTACCAGTAACAATGTACATGCCAGAAGGGAGTGAGGAACAACTGTTGTAGAATGATGGTAGGAACAAATAGCTTATACCAAAGAAGCATAGGTAAAGTGTTTGCAACGGATTCAGATTTGCTATAGAAGAGGCTAAACTCAAGTCAAAGGCGTATTTTGGAATTCTGTTACAGAATGGTTAAGACAAAGTCAAGTCTTGTTGTGACAATTCAATGATAGAATTAAGCTCTGTATGCAAGTAGTATAGACAAGTGATATTAGCAATTGCATAGCCATAGGAGCTGTGTACACAGAAAACAAAGAATCAAGGTAGCTGTGGAGAAACATTAGTAGATTCAGGATTAGATAGAGTTAGATTTGCACAGAGGCAAACCATCAAATGCCTGATGAGTAATAGTATGATAGTGATGTAATAAAGTAAAATGAGAGAGTTATGTCTACAAGTGTCCTGGAGATCTTATCCTTTTGGTGGTCATTGAGCTTGTGTGCAGATACCAAAGCTCTCATTGCAGATTATCAAAATTAGACAAATATTCACTTAGTGACTCCAAACACACCCAGAACTTTGTAACTACTTTTCTGCCTCACGCCACGTTTGATTCACAAGTACCTAAGCTCAATTGATAATTGGGTAGCTACCTAACCCCAATCTTACTAGGGTGAATTGAACGCAACAGCTGACTCTAGTACCCCTCACTTTTTGATCTTTATCTTTCCTTCTTCCTCCCACAACACTTTCCATTCTTTATTATTTCCTTCTCTTCAACAACTCTACCACCACCTCAATCTTTCTACAAATCTTCAGTCTGTACTACTTACTTGATTTTCTCTCTTCAATAACCAAATCACAAACAAACACTTTACAAAATGGCAAGTGAAAAATTATTCCACAACTCAAACCCAACCTGGAACTCAACTTGCGACCTTTCCTTATTACTGCGCACAATGCTAACATATTCAACGAGCAGTACCAAATCCCAGAGCCAGGACCTCCCTCGCCATTAAGAATTAGGCTTCCAGTCTACAACTATTTTCATCCTAGAGCTACCTTGGGGTATGATTAACCTCAATACTTATACATACTGGCGCACTTTCTTACAATACTAGCATTAGGTCGCGTTCTTGTGATGATGGCTTGATTATGCATGGCTATGAGGATGGGTATGTACTTTAAATCTTCTCAAAGCATTTTTCTTTTCTCAAAAACAACTTCTTTTGAAGACAATAGTTGGACATTGTTGGAAGTTCTTGTGGTTTCCTCAAACCCCTTTTGCCTTCAATTCCATCATCCAACAATTGATTGGTCCATAGCCGAACTCGGACGCGAGTTTTTTCAACAGTGTCAATTTCAACTCTTTCCTTTGTAGACCGCCTTACTCTACTATTCTGCCTTCTATTCGTCCCAACTTCATTTCATTCAATGTCAAATGTACTAGTTCTACTTTGATGATATATGGCACTCCAAGATTTTTGTTACATGGGAATAGCTTCTTTGATACGCTCATCGCTGCGCCATCAATGAGGCTATTTTGAGCAACACTCGTCTCATCTCGTCAACAGCATTGATTGAGAAGGCTTCCACAGATACATATCATTTATTTACATACATTGGAAATAGTTTTCAAACATTCCTATAAAACACTTTGGACATATAACACATGTTCACGTGAATTTGATATCCCAAATGCCCAGTGAGCATTCCATAGCCATTGTAAAAATACCAATACTTGATGAACATAAATTGAGCAACACATAAAACTGCAGTCGCACGTTTTTGATTTGTTTGCTTTGTCATGGCGATGAATGTTCCCCCGCACTTCATCTCCCGATATCATTATTATTCGTTGTCTTGAATTCACTGGTTCCCTCGGAGACCAAGAGAATCCTCGCATTGATAGAGTGGCTTCTTCCTTTAAAGTTCACTCCCGGATTCATGGTTCCATTTTTCTTCACTTTCAAAATTCATATTATTTCTTCCACTTCAAAGAAAAACTTTTCAGCTAGTGGGACCTACAAACAATATCCCCACCAACCTCGATTACTTTTTTTATCAT